ATACTATAAAAAAAATTTAATACTATAATAAACTGTAATCTTATTAAGAATATTGGTTATTATTTTTATATTAATTATTATTTTAAATTAAATATAATATATACAAAACACTATAAAACTAATTAGTAAATCTTTATATATCAATATAATTAATTATACAAAACACTATATAAAACTAATTAAATCTTTATATATCAATATAATTAATTGTTTTTAAAAAATATTATCAAAATGTAAATTATTAGCAAATTATAATGTAAATCAAAATTTAATTCTAATTCATTAATTTTTTATAAGCTAATAATTTAATATAATATAAAAATTTTAAACTTTAATATATAATAGTTAAAATTAAATTAGTTAATATACTTAGAGTAATGACAGATATTACCTAATATTAATTTATTATAAGAGCTTACACCACTGCCCTTATTATACTGTATATTTATATATTATATTAAAGTTTTTTATAATAAATATTTTTTTTATTAAGAAAATTACTTTTATTCTGTAAATAAACTTATATAGTATATATTACAAATAATTATATATATATATTATAAGAATTTTATATTTAAATTATTGTTAATTTGCAATTATTTAAATATTTTTACCTTATATAAACTTATAAAATTAGGTAATTTTATTTATAATAATTCATAAAAATCAAAAATATGAAGTAAAAATGAAATTATAAATTTAAATATAAAAAAAAAATAAAATAATTCTAATTAAAATAAAAGAAATTTAAAAAGAAGAAATTCAACAAAATTATAGAAACTTAAAAAGAAATACAAAAAAAAATTTAAAGAAAAATCCAAAAAAAAATCTAAAGAAATCCAATAAAATCCAAGCTAAAAAGAATTAAAAAGAAGAAAAATACTAATTAATTATTATAAGAAAATTAATTTCTGAAATCTGAAATTTACTATTTATTAAAATACTAAAATTAAAAATTTACAAAAAAGAAAATAAGTAGTTAATAAACAATAGTAAAAAAAAAGAAAACAAACAATCTAATTAATTTTTAAAAATATATACATTTTTTTTAATAAAAAGTGAAATGAATAAATCTGCAATATACTTATTAATGTTAAAATAATTGAATTTATTAAAAAATTTATCAAAAGAAAAAAAAAGGTATTAAAAAATATTAAAAAATATTAAAAATTTAAAGATGTTAAAGAATATTAAAAAAAAGTTATCTGTTATTGATAAATAAATAACCAAAAAATTAATCAAGTAATATCACTTTAATATGTTTTAAAAATAAATTTATTAGATTATAATATTATAATAGTAAAAATTAATAGGTGATATCTACCTGCTGAACATAATTATCCACCTGACAGTACACATGTAAGATATTTAATAATATTAGGGTTTAATTTTTTCAATAGTTGCATTATATATATTATTCTATGAATATTTACTTTAATAAAATTACAAATGCACTGCAAAATAAAAAAAATCAATAGGTGATATCATCTAAGTAATTTTACTTTAAATGCTATATAATTATTATATTTTAATATTACAGTCAGACCTCCATAATTGCACACCACTTGGAACCATATGCATAATTTTCAAAATAATGCATTTAAAGATGATGTGCATTTATAGAGGTAAAATAATTAGAGATTATATAAGCTTAGGACCAAACCAAAGGATGCATTTAGAAAGGGTATACATAGTGGGTGCAATTATGGAGAGTGCAATTATAGAGGTCTGACTGTATTTGGCAAATACAGTCAGTTCTCAATATAATGAACCCTAGTTTTATATTACAAGATTATAGCAAAGAATTCAAAGAATTTAATTGACTGATTCATTATAACAAGAGATATTTGATGTATTTAATTGGTTAAATATCACATATTAAAAAAATTTTGTTATAAAGCAAGTTTGTTATATTAAGAGTTAATTGTAATATGCATTAGGTATCAATTTATATTTAATATATATCAGCTAATAAAAGTATATAAATATATTATATATCTGTTATGTTTCAGAAAGTAGTAATACTTACTTTAGAATAGGACGTGTGAAAAAATCATTATCCCGGTGAAAAACCACGTACACCATTCCGTTCCAAACACCAACCAGTTGACCACTTTACCAAGAATATTCGTCAAAATCGTCGAAAGAATCATAGTTCATATCCTCATAGATTATTTCAATAGCTTCCCATGTTTCAGTAGAATTTGGATCCAATCTCGGACTGAAAGATTATTATCAACAGGTTTGGAAAGCATGAGCTTCTTTAGCTCACGTGTTTGGTTTATGAGCCCTCTGAAAATCAAATATAAATGTTAGACTGAAACTCTCATGAGATCCGATGGCAGATTTAGAAATACCCACTATCAAAGCATAAAGTAGTTCAAAGACCTCTCAGAACTTGCCAATCTCATCAAATGAGAAGGGTATTGATGCCGATTTTATTTGCGAAACTGTGTAAAAAATGTTTTCTATCAAGGCGAAGTTCACTTTCACTTAGTGTAACTCGATCACCTAACATAAATCATCAATGTAAGAATTTATACCATTCAAAAGAAACTAGTATATCACAATAAATACATTGCCGATACACTGCACCATAAACGTGCGCAGGTTCTTAACATTTTCTGCACTCTTATTTAGGTAGTCTCTGAGTAGAGACAAAAATCCAAACATATAAGCTTTTCGGTATCCTCTTTTACATGTTTTAAAACAGCCTTTTCGGTACCTCAATGAATACAATCTCTTTGTTATACCGTCTACCTTATTTAATGTCAAATCGAACTCTGGAAATAACAACATCACATCTTTGATACAATCAGCTTGCACCTCGATCCAATCAAACATATATTCTTTATAGAATGATTGAATTGCTTTGAACAAAGAGCCAATTCTATCTACGATGTATTTCCTTTCCTATTTTGGTCTAATGTACTTTCGCTGGTCATAGAGAAACTGAGTTTAAGCAGTATGAGTTAGTCTGCCATCCCATGAAAGAGAATCCATCGAAAATATACTCACAAATCGTAGAGAATAGTTTCGCAAACCTTCCGAAATTGATGATTAGGGCTCAATGGAGTAATTATAGCACTCTTGAATACATCTTTTTCCAAAGAAATCTTTAAATATTAATCACTTTTAAAGATGTTATATCAAAAATATATTATTTACGTTAGTGCAGTTACAAGACAACTGCGAATTTCTTCCGGAATTGTATCAACTTGGTAAGTCTCCATGATTACACATTGACCGTTAACATTTACCGAAATGTGTTTGGCCAAATATTGTATAGAAAGCTCGCTGAGGGACGGTGGCCCTAATAGAATTTTTAGTTAGGCTATTGTGAAATTTGTTTTCAAGACTGTTTCAAGCTTACCTCCAAAGCTTTAACTGCGGAGGCGGATGTTGCATTAATCTTACAAGCTGTATCAAATCCACGTTCGTCTTGCTCCTCTCGAAGTTTATCGACAAATTCTTTCACTTCGGCCGTAGAGAACAATTTCTCGAAATCAGTTATAACCTTGTCCAATTTACTATTTACGTATACATGATTTACATGATTGTCGTCTTTTTTGTAACATCGTAGCGATGCACTCTTAAGATCATTGACGGAATCTGAATATAGTCGACATTTTGATTTGGTGTATTCCAAAATAGAAATAATTGACCAATGTTTGTATTTCAGAGAGAATAAAATAAAATTAAGTTGAATTGTATTAAACTACATTGATTATAATAATTAACGAATCGCTCCCTCGAGTAAATAATTAATTTGCCAAAAAATTAATGCTAATTTAGCACATCATACACATGAAGAATTATACGTTTTATAATAACAGATAACAATGACTAATAATTCTCCTTCGACTCAAGCAAGTGAACTTTTTTAAATAATAGTCAAGGTATACTGGAAAGCAGCATGCAGGGATCAGGCCTTAATCAAGTACTTCCTTGGAGACTGTCTCCAAACATCTAACGCAGGAAGATATGGCCATACGCCAGTAGGGATACGCTTGACTTGTATATGTAAATATACATGGAACTTGCACGAAAACATTAATAAATTAGACTGATCTTGTAGTTAAGAAGCTTTTTAAGCTATTTACAATAAGCGCGACTTTTGAATGATGATCACATGTATTACATAAATGTCACGTGTGATTACGCAATGCCTTACTTGTCGTATATATTAAAGTTTATCCAAGCATCTCTAGCATCTCTACCACAAGCTATGAAATCGTGTCCATCTCTGATGCTTGAAAATTAACAGAGCCGTCATCATCATTTATCATCATCTGACACGGATTCATCATCGTCTATTAACCCTAGAGTCACGTATTTTACCAAAAGAACGGAATCGTTTGGTAAGACTCGTTCCAAATCCTAGTCCTAATCTACGGTTTACACTAAAATACTTATCTTCATTTGCCGTTCTTCTAGAAACAGCATTGAATATTTCTTACCACGTATGTAACACCATCAACCATGTCTGTTTGTGATAGTGGAACAGCAAACCTATCCGAGCTTGAGGTTTTGAGACAGTACAACACTGAACTTAAGGCCAAGGTTGCCGAGCTTGAGGTATTTAGACGGCGCAACACTGAGCTTGAGTAAATTATTATCAAGCTCAGGATGTCTCTATCTAGCATTTGAAACCTTGCTTATAGTATCCTAAAGAAACTAGGGGACGATATCGTTAAGGACACTGGATTTACTGGATAAAGACATCCTTTCTCCTTCGTTCGAAGCATTTACTGTGTTATCTTGTGGGCATTTGTTTCATAGGGAGTGCGTCGAAAAATCCTTTCTACTTACATGCCAAACTGAATGCAAAAAATAAAACATTAAGATTTTAGCATGGAAATTTCGCAATGTACTATTTTTTTATAGCAACCGATACATATAAATGTTATTCTGTAAAATGTAATTTCTATTACTTTTTTATTATCTGCTTTATTTATGAAAAAAAATGAGCAAACAACTAAATGAGACATTGTGTTTAGTTTAGAAAGAGAAACAGACGTTCTGTACTATGGTATTAGCAATGATCATAAATTCTTAAAAATTATGATAAAATCTTAAGAATATGATTGAATTCAATTGTCCACCCACATCTGAGTACGACATGCAGGTTCCAGTTCAATCTGTAGTAAACTCGGTTGAAGTTCGCATTCCAATGGATAAGATACGGCGCTCCAGGTACACCATGGTGTTGAATAGCAGCAGTAGAAGCTGCCTGAGGATTTGGATTCTTACCGAAACGATTAAGATTATTTGGAAGAGCGACACCAACAAATTCAATACGAGGACGTTGTCGATGAACTAGGGCAATTTTATTTAACGCGTTGCTACGATCAGAGTCTTTATCATAAAATACCTATAAAATTTAATTCTGATAAGTAAAAGCGTTTACAAAATTTCTTTCAGCAGAAACTTAATACGATTACCTCCACCCAGACATCTGGTGGCGGGCATCTACTAATTATGGGATTTTGCTGTTGGCGTCTTGTAAGGTTTTGAAACCACACACCAACGTCGGGAAGATATTGATCGCCTGCAACCACGCATATTCCTTTAGATACTACGATCCAATTTTGATTATGTGCCATCGCTGAGACCACTAATGCGACATGAACTTTTTCTTTTAGTACACCGTCATACTAGTATATTTAGCAAGATCAATAAATAATATGAATGTGTAGTTGCGTAAGCTAGAACTAAACTTACCTTAATAAAAATATCGTTTCCAATTATTTCAACGACATACTTGTAATGTATAGCTTCGAGCACATGTTCGTCAATTTTACTCATGTCTAGGTCAAGGCTAATTTTAACAATATCTTTATCCGTTTGTTCTTGTTCTTGCAGCAAATCATCAATCTGCGTGCAAATCTGTGTGTTCGTTAGCATACTTAGACATTATTCATAAGTAGTCTCCAGCCACTTAGATACCTGATTAATCATAGAGGTTTGTCTGGTCATCCGAGTGGACGTGGACGTTTCTTCTGTACCTTCAATTTCAATTGCTCAAAGGGCAACGGGAGATACAAGATAAACGGAGAAGCAGCAAAAAGAAACCGTTTCCATTATATAGAGATCGCAATATATATATACTAATAAATTTAATATCTAATATGTATAATATGACTAACATGTTCCATATGTCGATCATGTTCGATATGTTAATTAGGTTCGACATGTTAATGTTAATCATGATCAATGGCTCCGCAGCGCAACGCATCTATCACAATAATTGGCAGTCGCATCAAAAGGGCGTTCTTTCGCCTCTGAATAGTTTCTCCACATTTTGTTGAACTGCATATCTGCTTTACTTTCAAGTCTAAGAAAAATGCGAGTGTGCTTACTTCTGTGCGAGGGTATTTTTAGCAAAGACCAGTCCTGCATCGGTCTTGGGACCGGTCCTCACGGTCTTCTGTCCGGGGACTGATCCTTTTGATTTATATCCAATAAAAATGTTTGTGCTCATTTATTTCTAATTTGATATTTTTGTTCGATTTTTTGATTCAAAAAATTTTTTCTTTTTAAATTTTCAAAATAAGTGTATTTGTAATAAAGTTATTATTAAAGTTTGAAATCTGACTCCAAAGATCTATAAATCGTATTCTAAAATGTTTCTTTACACCATAATAGTACAATACTCGATTCAAATTTCCATTTAAGTTATTACTATGATAATTTTCTATTTAAATACGTTAAGTCAATAGAAACACGCAAACTTTTCAATCTCAATACATTTGTGTAAATTAAAATGGGGAAGAGCAAAGATTATTCAAAAGAATATGAAGACGCTACTGAACTTGAAGATGAAGATGATGAAACTATGAATGACAGAACCAAGGACGAAGATGAGTACAGAACCAAGGATGAGAATGAGGATGAACTCATAGCTGAAGATGAACAGGACCCCGCTTACTTATAAGATAGGTCACCTCCAGGCCTAAGGTAAAAATCATATATAAAATTCTTTGCAGATCCTACTATAAAAGGAAATTTTATGTTACATTGTTATGATTTTTTCTTTTTTAGCTAATTAACCAATAGAATTTAAGAAAAAAGTAAGGTAAAAACTATTAGTAAAGGGCCAATTTTTTACGGTAACCTTTATTATAAGTAAGCGAGGTCCTAGATGAACTCATAGCTGAAGATGAACTCATGGCTGAAGATGAACTCATGGCTGAAGATGAACTCATGGCTGAAGATGAACTCATGGCTGAAGACAAACTTGTGGCTGAAAAAGAAGACGAACTTGTGGCCAGAAACGAGAACGAACCTGTGACTGAAGACGAAGAAGAACCCAGGGCTGAAGTCGAAGTAGAACTTAGGGATGAAGACGAAGATGGAACTAGGCCTGAAGTTCCTATCCAAGTAATCCAACGTAGTAGAAGAAGAACACGAGCTATTAAATCACGATCAAAAAATAAGGGAAGTACTTCTAAGTCAATCGTATGGAATCATTTTGATACTAAAATGGCTAAATATTCTGGTCGTTCTGTTTGTCAAAAATGCAATGCTTTATTTTTGGCTGGATCAGGAACTTCTACTTTAAGAAGACACTTGTCTTCTCACAAAATTGCGGCATTAAAGCAGCACCAAAGAACTATTCACGATTACTGTATTGATCCTCATCCTAAAAATGAACAAGAGGAACAGGGTGTGTTAGTTGCTAATTGGGTTATATGTAATATTCAACCTTTTAGCATTGTAAAATATGATGAATGGTGACAAATGATCGCTAAATTTGATCTGAGATATCGATTTCACAATCGACATACTTTGAAGGACAATATTGTAAATTTATTCAAAGAAAAGTTAGAAATAGTTAAAGTGGCAGTACGACAAATTTCAGGAAAGGCAGCGCTAATTTCGAATATGTGGACAGCTTCGAATAGCTCACTTTTCCTTAGTCTTAGTACCTTTCATTATATAGATTCTTCTTGGAAACTAAAAAAATTTCTTCTTGATATTATACCAATTGAAGTTCGACATAATGGATATAACATGGCAAATGTAATAATGGAAGTTCTTCGTAAGTTTGGTTTAGCTGAGAAAACTTTAGCACTAACAACTGATAATGCATCTTCGATGATTTCTTATGGCGAATTTATAGTGGAGGAACTCGAAGAAGAATTTCAGAACCTCAATTTCGCCCATTACCGATGTGCCACGCATGTCTTGAATTTTGCAGTCAACAAAGAATTAAATTTGATTTCTGAATCCGTTAAGAAAGTAAGATCTCTAATGTCTTACATTAAAACTTTTCAACTGGTCGTTAAAGACGCTATGTGAGGTAAAGGGAATTGATTATCTAGCGCTCAAGCTGGATGTTAATACCAAATGGAATTCCACCTTTTATATGTTGGAGAAATGGAAAAGGATGGAGCCTGCTTTAAATTTACTTGCCGCCGATGATTTAAATGTTCGTCGAAGATATCTTACCAATTTTAATCGTATTAATATTGATGTAAGCGAAATATTTTATACTTTCGCATATTTTTAATGATAATTTCAAGTTATTTAGATAGATTTAAACAATTTATAACTTTTATTCATGAAAAATGATACCAACATGTTTATAAATTAAAAGTGTTTTCAATTTTTTTGGAATCTAGTTCGTCTGTTTTTTAATTTTGCAAGTAAATTGCAGAAACTTACTATATTTCTAATTTTATTAGGATACTATGGTTCTTTTAAGTCTAATCGAATGTGCAACTCGTCTCCTTTCAGCATTTAGTTATCCAACCCATGGTAACGTTCGGTTCATTTTTCTTAGTATTCAGGAGCATTTATCTCGATATATTAGTGATGAAAGCATACTGTGGCAGATGCAATTTATCAAAAATTAAGTGATTACTGACCGGTTATGAGCGAATCTTCTCAAATTTCTTCATTATTAGATTCAAGAGTGAAGTTCTCTGCATTTGAAAATAAAATTGAAAGAGCAAGTGCAAAAAAATTTAGTGTTGGATCTTATTGAATATTCATCCTCATCATTACCATTACTTGCAGAAACTACAAGAGGAGATGATATTATAGATACACAAAATTTTTTTTGAAATTTACGTAATAATACGACATTAAATTCGTTAAAAAACACTAATACATCAGCATTTAGGACACTCAAGAATGAAATAGAAAGGTATTTGGCAATACCGTTAGAAAACCAGGTTGATCCCTTACTCTGGTGACAAGTTTGATGGGAAGAATTTCCAATTTTAAGCAAAATTGTGCGAGATTATTTGTGTATTTAAGCCACAAGCATAGTTTCAGAGCAAGCTTTCTCAGTAGCTGGGTTAACAATTTCGCTATTAAGTAATAGGCTGGATGCTGAAACAGCCAGAGTAACATTATGTTTGAAGAGTTGCCATTTGTTAATTGCCATTTGATGTATTGTTCTTGAAATTATCGTATTGAAGTCATCACATAATAAAACGAATAAAATTTTTGAACTTTATTTTAAATAAATGAGAATTTTATTAAATTATATTTAAGGGACTTAATAAATTAAATTTTTAAATACATTACAAATTTTTTTCTTTTCTTTATAATTTAATTGATTAAAAATGAAACAAAATAATTCATAATACATGTGATTTCTCTATACTAAAACCAAAAAAAAATACTAATTTTCAATTATTTTAGTACATTTCAAATTTTTCTTTAATTAATTCATAACGATAATACATGTGATCATTTACGCTAAAACCAAAAAAAACATTATTGTACTGAATTTTAATTATCATTTATTTAACTATAAATCTTTTCCGTAAATATGCAAATGATTAATAACTTAAAACATAGGAACAAATTTTCTCAATTTAAATTGATCTGGTCTAGGTCCGGTCTGGTCCAGATTAAAAGACTGGTCTTTTTGGGATTGGACTGGACTGGACCAGACTAATCCAACCCTAATTAGTACACAACCTGGTATTTTAAGGAAAAGAATTTATCTTCCAGGCTGATTTGATTTTGATTGTCTGAATCTTTTGATCTTCTTCAATCCTTTAGCCTCTGGCATGTTGTCAGCCCCCATACAGCACCTTTTCCATTCGTGAATTCGTCTTTAGAGTTTTCTCAATAATTCTATTTTTGTATATCTTTAGACGATTTAAAGCTTCCTGCCAACTGTTTTCACATCTGCTCTTTCGATAATAAAAGGCCAATCATAGGTAGAATCATTGAACCTGAGCTGGATATCAGGCTGAAATGATTTCCAACATAATGTAAACGCTTTTAGTAAATTTATCTGATTTCCACATACAACTGTTATCCATCGTGGGTCTGGCACAGTTTCAAGATCGATAAGACAGATTTGTTTTGGGGTCGTCTTTCCAATGCAAGGTTATGCATATCATAAATGCATTAGCACCGTCAAGGGTAAGTACTTCTGGAGATTTCCAAATCCGCATGCATGAACCACATGTTTCTATATCCCATGTGAGGATAAGTGTGCAGTTTTTTGTGAGAGGTCTTCTATTGGTCAGAAATTCTTTACAGAAACATAGAACTGTGTGTATAGTGAGAATGTCCCCCTGTATCTACAAGTACTTATCATTGACCAACCAGAAATTGTGATTCCATTCTCTCTATCTTACGATGTAATGAGTACATGTCATCAGATGCGGTCTCGTATTTTTTGTCTTGGATAGCTTTAAGGGCATTCTTTCTATCCCCAGTTCCACAATTACTCATCATTATTTATTTATTTATATAGAAAATAAATCTAAAAAGATTATCAAATGATCAATTGAACCCGGTTCACCAGCCAGCCATACTTTACTCTAAAAATCATGTCCAAAATCTCTATTATTTTATTAATAATAAATTTTCTCCATCTTTACTTTCTCCTTTCACTAATATAATGAGGTGGATGCCAGAAAAAAGACCAAACTGTTAAAATTTTTTTAAATAAAGGATGTTCTGAATCAAATATTCAGTGTTATTATGTCATTTTTAACATGCCAATATTTTTTAATAAATTATTATTGCATAAATATTTATTGATACATGACGTCATTTAGATTAAATATCTATTAATTTTTATAAATATCTATTGTCTACTATGCTAATAAATAAGCTTATAGAGTTTATTTATTGTTTTTTTATATGGAATAATTGGAACATGATCTTGGACGTCTGCATAATAACGGTATGGTGGTTAAAATCTGCTTCACAGTTCGGAGATATTTCAAACCCCACCCAATATATTGATTGATCACATGTGTTAAAAAAATTGTTTTTTCCACCCTTTTCTGGCACCTCACACTATATAGTTACAAAGAATATCCACGTTCTGATCTTTCCGTTGTTAGACCTCATAAGAATAAATAAATCAAGGAAAATTGCTGTATGCTAAATGCAACATCATATACAATGAAGTTCTTTAATTTACAAGAAAATTAATTCAACACCATAAAAATGTCCTGCAGATTCCAGAAATGCTTTACTGACCTGCTTTTTATATTTAATCACAATTCAAAAATGGTCAGTGATATTGCAGCAGTCGTTTACAGTACATGAATTTACAATCCAGCCCAAGCAATTTGCAAAGTGATCCATTCATTTACATTGAAATCCTTCTTCCACTTTCACACCATCCGTCCAACTTCAGAAGCTTCAGCGTAAGCGCAATACTTGCTTGTGGTATGTCTTATTGTCAAATTTTTATGCCTGGAGCTAGAAGTAAAAGAGAGTAATTTTTTGTTTTCACAGAAAGCTATGTATACAAAAATAGCATTTAACAATTCGCAATAAAAAAAGAAAAATACGTAAAGTATGCCTTATCAAAGCTTTGCTAATGAAAATATGAAAATACAGTACTATCCACTTTATCATTTTATGATCGAAAAAAAATTCTAATAATAATTTCTTTTCGTACAGTACGAATAGTAATTATAAAAACACTTGTCCGATTTGCAACTATTAGAGACTCCAACAAGTATGAAGTATGAACATTTCACACTTTATAAAATATATATTCACAATTGTTTGCGTAATGATTGTGTTTTGATAATATTTCACATTGCTTGATAGTTGTAATCACTGAAACTTTATTTCAAGAATCTAAGAATCTTATTTATGTCACAAAAGATAAAGTGGATATCGATTAATACCTGAACGTTTTTCAAAAATCATCTCGGAAGCTCGTATCAAACAAGAGAAAATGAAAGTGGGTTCATGATTACCTTTATGGTATTTTCACTACATTTCAGTTTAAACCTAAAAGTAAAACCTACTAATATCGAAATCTGATAATTGAGGAATGCAAATTACCCCTTGGGACAAACAATATAGATCATGTGACTGACTGCGAAATATACTACTATATCAGATATGATATAAAAATATGAGTATAATTTTTTTTAAGGGTTTCGTACATATAGTTTTATCGGAGTTAGTTATATAATATTGTATGTTAATGAATATTAGCCCCGTTCAATTCTGGTCGGTTGCATTTTTCGGTCGGGTTTTCTTTATTTTGTCCGATTTTTTGTGTAACACATTTTATATCCGACCTTTTGACTCATAAAATTTTTGGTTTTTTTTCAGTCGAACGCGTTTTACCAATAGAATGGTTATTTTGCGTATGACCAAAAAATGCAACCTACCGGAATTGAAAAGGGCTATTGTGAATTTTGTGAAAATATTTGAAATTATAATGAACGGAGTTCTACCAATACCAAATGTCTCCCTATATTATTTATTATTTTCACGGGTGCAGATCTTTTTGAAGGATGACAGATTGTTATTAAAAATAACACAAAAAATATTTTTAATTTAAGTGGTTCCTTTGTTTGGGAAATGCAGTATTATGAGAAACAACCTTATTTTGAAAATCAAAACAATAATTAATGAAAAAAAAAGAAATTTTCATGTTAAGAAAAAAAAAAAAGAAATGATGAGAACTGTTAAATCATTCGTTCTGATTAATTAATTCAACCATTTCTATCTACATAAAGAGTTGTTGTTGATATTATGGCTCATTTTAGCAATAAATGACTAAATATTAAGGGGAAAGCGGAAAGGTTTGATAATTATACAATTACAATTGATCTGGACTTCCATTAAATTAATGAAACCGCGTACCATGCGTGATTCTAGATTCGTATGTGTGTTGATCTAGAATTTCTTTTAAAGTTGTGTGAACTCGAATCTTTTCGAATACATTAATTGGTTTATGAAACGATGCACAATGTGGTACACCATTTTAAAGCATGACTACTTTTTTTTTTTTTTAAAAAAAAAAAAAGTGTTATCTCTTAGATAAACAATGAGATTATCGATAATTCCATATGATATCTATAAACTGAAGTGAACTGAGTCATTGTTTCCGCTTTTTAGCTTTAAAAGAATTTATTAAATATCACAAGAAAAAAAATGATTGATTTAGCATTTATTAAGGCTAAAGTCATTCAAGTTTAATGCTATTGACTTTCGTTCGTTCTTTTATTTATTTATAAAATCTCTAATACAACACCACATAACTTTTAGCGCTGATGATTGAATTATATAAACTCATTCTAATTGTAATCTTTGTAATCTTAACATTGTTTTTTTTGGCTCCTTTAATAACCTGGCTTGGTATTATTTATTATTATTGATTTATATCGTGCTTATTCGGTATTTCCGGTATATGCTTTTGTTGGTAATACACGTAATGATTATTCATCTTTCATTCAGATGACCTGCTGATACAGTTTCTAAAATTCTTAAAATTAATGAAGAATTTGTGTTCAACTCGTTGTATCACAATAAATTATTAATTATATAATATTTTTATTTATTTTTCTTTAGTCCAATGTTTTCCGACTTTCTTTTTTTTTTTTAGATTCTGGAACAGGATATATTAGATATATTGTTTTGAGAGGGGTAGGAAATTTTTTTGTAAATTAAAAACAAATAATACAAATTTGGAATAATGGGTATAGCTGACATGTTGTCATGTTGTTTCCTAAATTATAATATCATTTACGAATAAAAAAAAATGTGATAATATTTATAAATTTGATTATGTTATTATCTAATAAATCAAAAAATTTAAACGCGTTTCTTATGTCGATCATGTCTTATCAGTTTTAAATGACGGCGTAATGTGTTAATATTTCCAATATTTCCAACATATACAAAAGTTTTTCCGTTACTAATGTGATATATAACTTGTTTATGAAGTTGAATCGCTTCTTTTGATTTATAAATATTATTATTATTATTTTCTTTCTTTTTTTCTTTTTTTATTCGAATCTGTAATTCTAGACTCTTGAGACTCTGTCACAAATGACGAAAAGAATTTGTTTTTTTTTTAAGTAACAGATGATTAAACTTGGTACTCCCTCTCAAAAGAACCAATTAAATTCCTAAAAATAAAGCTTAAAAACCTTTGATTTTTGCAAATAATTCGGATTTCTCAAGAAAATTAATTAAGCTTTGATAATTTCATAAAATTATGAAATATAAGTCAAATAACAATAAGGTTAAAAATAAGCTTGTAAGGAAAGCTTTTTTCTTTACGTTCCCAAGCTTAAATTATAAGCAATCATAAGTCTTAAAATATATAAAACAAAAAAAAAACATTTATGACTATCCAATACATTAACAAAAGAAAGAAACCTGTTTTTTTTTTCATAAAAGTTTCTTTCAAAAGTAAATTCTTTTTTTTTTTTATTCTAGTTTACGTTTATTCATATTTCAAACACGTTCGAATACGTTCGAATACGCGAATACGCGAATACTTTTATGCTTAAATCTTAGTTTCTTAAATTTTATTAACTTATTATGTTCATACGTTCTTAAATTCTTACAATAAATGAATACAAACAAATTATAATCTTAATTTTTATAATCTTATATATTTAATATCATCATGTTATAATCGTCGTTTTTTTTTAAATATAATATACTAACTCCGAGAAAAGATCCTTCATAATTTCTCGTTCCTCCGACATTGTTAACTTACAGACCAGCACCTTAGCAGCTGGAGCTGGGGCTACTATGACTTCTCCCGCATTTTTAATTTGTGACTCATCGATATTGTTGTCACTTTTTTTATTGTTGTCATTATTGCCTATAAATTAAAAAATTAATTATTATTATCTTTAGCGACATAAATGGTTTTCTACATGCATAAATTTACATATACTTACAGGAATCAGGAGCTAACGGTGTAAAAAATTCGATAATTAACCGCCCTCTCCTCCATTCCATGCTCGTCTTATTATAAAGGTCCGTGAAAATATTTTTTAAAACGGGATCATTCATCTTCACCCATTTCCAGAGTGAGGATGAAATCTTTGAGACCTCATTCCTCTCATACCGGAAATGAAGCTCATGAAGTGCTTTTTGAACGGGGTTTCTGAAAATTAGGAATACTGTGGGTGGTTTGCGAGAGTTTTTCTGAAATCAAAAAAAAAAAAATTTGTTAATACAATTTGATCTACAAAATCATTTTCAAATTAGGCTAGTTTGGATAATTTGAAAAATAGGTTCGTTCATAACACTATTTATTGTTTTCTTGATCAATTGACGTAGAAAAGTACGTGTTTAGCAATTTAAATACCTTGCAAGTCTTTAGTATTCCTATTGGAGAAGGAATTTCAAATTCAGTAATATTATCGTACCCCAAAAGACCGAAAGAATACTGTCCCGTCGCAATACGAAAGAGGGTAGCAATAGGAAGGAGTTGAGAATTTTGAGAATTTTGAGATCTTGAATTATTCGTGTTTGCCATTTTTTTTTAAGGACCGAGTAGACCGAGTAGAACGATTGTGGATGTTGTAGGAAATGTGGAGGATACGGGAAACGACGGAGTATTATACTATTTTTTTTCTTTGAAGGAATTTAACTCAAAAAGTGAGGGAGGAAATTTCGATTCTTTTTATAATTAAAAAAAACAAAGTCATTAGATATTATTATAATAACATAACTTTTACTCTTATTAACTTTTGATTTTGGGGGCGGATGATATAATTTAATCGGAGTTCGTCGACATATTATTAGACACTTTGTTAACATATTGGACACAGAGTCTGAAAGCAAATTTGATCACAAAATGAAATATAATCAATTTCTTTATGAATAAGGTATGACATTTTCCGTGTAATAATAATTTTTTTTTATAATATAAAATTTGATTACTGCGCTTTGAATTCAACGCGCAAAAACGTATTACGTAATATGTATTCCAATAATTTCAATACATTATTCTAGGCTTTAATTATAAAATTGTATGTTTGAATGGAATGTATGTAAAAGTAAAATTAAATAAAGTAAAAAAGTAAGAATAATATTTTTTTATTTATTATATATAATTCTAATAATATAACATACTGTGTATATAACAAATATAAGATGATCATTTTTTATCAAATAATAAGCACGCGTAATGCAATAAATTCTAGTGTTACTTCGATTCAAAAAAGAAAAAATAAAAAATAAAGAATATAAAAAGGAAATATCCATCGCTGTTCGGCTTGTCATTATAATTTTAAAATAATTTAAAAAAGGTAATTACATAATTAGTCGCGTATTACTTAAAGTTACTCAAATAATCTAATTATAAGAATTTTAAAAGATTTGATTTGATTTATAAATTTGGTTGGTCAAGGAATTAAAGATTGGAGCTTTCAAAGTTGAGTTATTAAATAAAAAAAAACTGACGGAATAAAGTAAATAATATAACTGGAATACTCATCATTTTTATTTAAGTGGCTTACGGAATTTATAAAATCATTAGAAAGTGTGACCTTACATATATCAAAGGGCTTTTTAATGATATTAGGAAAACTTATAATACTTTTCTAGAAAATTTTCCGGAAATTAAAATTATTATATAAATAAATTTAAATAATGTTTAATCAGATCTAATCGTTTTTCTTAATATTATTCTTTGACAAATGACCAAAAAAAGGAAAGAGTTTGAAAGAATACCTCCAATATTTAAAATATTTTGAGATGTTGATCAAGTTCAATGAATTTATTTGTGATGCAATGTAATGTAACATCGCATCTTCAGGGAGTTTCTCTTGCAGGAATAGTATAATTTCCGGAGTATATTCCGAGTAAACCTAAATTTAATTTCGAATTTTTTGAATATTTTTTTTTTTTTCTTAATATTTAAATTTTGTTTCATTAGTATATGATATTTTAAGGAATATAAACTTGTTATTTCTTATAAATCGTCAAAAATTTCTCTGAAATTTAAGTAAAATCGGAATTAAATCCGCATGTCTATCAATATTTGTAATTAAAAAGCAAGGAGGCTTTGTATCACTTTAAGATTCAAAATATTTAATATTTCCAAATATGTGATAAAAAAGTAACAAAAGTACAAAAGTAATAATAATAATGATGAGGTTTCGAACACCATTCGTGTCGAACGATAGACAAAAAGGAATTTAGAATTGCGTTAAGCCACACCCATTATAATTTTTTATGCATACTCTCATTGTTAAATTTGGAGCAATAGAAATTTGTTTTAATTCTTTTGCTTTAAAATGAAAAGTCAAATATGATATAACAATAAATGATTCTAATTTCAATTCGTTATATTATATTATATATAAGGTATAGATAGTATTTGTATGTTTTGAAAGAACGCCGTATTTACGGTTAATGATAATATTAACTAACCTAATTTGGATAAATACTCTTTCTATGTATTCTCCTGTAAGAAAAAAGATGATGTCAAAATATATATATATATATATATATATTCGTCTCATTTAGAGTCCAGATTTAAGATATATTGAATGCAAAACGTACGGTTTGATCTTTAAAATGAAGGGAGTGCTATTATATTCACGCATAATGATGTTTATAATAAAAAATCTACCTATTGCACATTTTTTTTAATGAGGGTGATTAATGTCACACATGAACACAAAAAGAGATTATATTTAGGTTCAAGGTTGAAATCATTTTTACTTTTTGTGTAGCGAACAAACATTGCATCACTATGATTTCCATGTAAAATTCTTTTTTTTTTTGAAAATAAAAGTGAAAAGATTCCTCTTTTTTCTCCTATTGTAAAAATTCTCCGACCCAAGTTGAATTATCTAGCCATTTTAATATCTAAATTACATATCACGTGTACGGCTAACTTTTGCTATTGTAGATAAATTTAGATAAGTAATCATATTTAGTTTAAAAGGCTAAAAAGGAATAACTGCCCGTTGTATAATCACCTGATCTTATACAGATCAACGGACGACCATAGCGTCGCCTCCAAAAAATGGTAGCCGGATTATTTTGCCGGTTCTTTAGTGTTAGGGTTAGGATTAGGGTTGGGATTAGGTAAGGGGATTAGGATTAGGATTAGGGTAAGGGGATTAGGGTTAGGAATTCGTCACATAATGTCACTCCCTAACGTTTCTTTAATTTTATAATTATTCTGAGGACTTAGAAAATTTTTTATACGTAAAGTACTAAATGTCACGTATTATTTATCACCTCTCAATAATATATGTAACCAGGCAAATTAGAACCGGCTACCATTTTTTGGAGGCGACGCTAGGGTGGTTCAGATCAACGTAATGTTAGGGAGTCTTTCAAGCTATACTGTACATAAAAAGCATGATATGCAATTTTATTTCTCATTTATTCCTGATATCCTGATATTATAATATTATTACACTCTATCCTTAAAAATAAATGCAAGGATACATAGCCTTGTTCCTTTCCGGTCGGTTGCATTTTTGTTCGGGGGTTTGTTTATTTTGATTTGTTTGTTTTTACCTACTAATGCATTTACATTATTTAGTTCTAATTAGAAACAAAGTTACCTGTAGATTAATAAAAAGTAATAAATAAAATTGTTTAAACATCAATAATAAAAAATATATATATATTTATATTTTTTATTAATCCTAGGTAGTGGTAAATGTCAGTTTGGCCTAATAAAATCCAAATTTTGTATCTGATTCTGCAAATTTTGGACTTGGGTTTGCGAATTTCTATATTGACCTTTCTAATTCTGAGCCTGAAGAATACAACCGGCATGTCTTCTCCAACGTTCTGCATTGATAAATACTAATCGTACAAATTTATTTTTATTTGGACTACAATTTTGTCCGATTTATACTAGTCTAATTTGGCAAGAACTAAATTTTGGTATAATGATTGTCGGTAAATTGATTAATTAATTAATTGAAGTTGTAACATGTATATCATAGTAACACGAATTTATTAGCATAAGTCTTTATTTAATACGGCGTTTTCGTAATTTTGAGTCGTAAACCGAAATTACTAGGTCTGTAACCTAGGTGTAATCTGAAATGCCTTGATTATTACTAGCGGCTACTAACTTCAACTGACAATTTAAAAAGGATTCGTTTGGGATTTTGATACATTCTTTTAATCATTCTTTTGGTCAAAACAATTACTTGTGTAATATCGATATTAAAATCCTAAATGAACTCTTAAAATCTATGAATAATGTATACAAATTGTTAAGGACATTTTACTGTACTGCATTAGACGATCCCATGCGATTTTTTCCTTCCTTCCACTAACGTCATCATATTAACCTTTGCTTTTTCCTATATACCTTCTTATTTGGTGTTACATATTTTTATATTATGCTATAATTTTTTAGATATTGAGCAAATAAATGCGACGGTTTCTGTTTTCCTAGTAAAAGAAGTACAAGTTTATGCACAAATTTATAAACAAAACTTTAACAATATTTGTATACGATCTATTATCTTTTATCCGAATTCATTATTTATATTGTGAAATTTTTTTAAATTACAATGAAGCGGCTCTACCAATGATTTCAATTTTTCCATGCAGATTTTTCCATGCAGCTCTTTTGAAAATAATGATATGCAAACATTTGAAAAATTTGTAAAGGCACGAGCATTTTTGAGTTACAATCAATGTTTCTTATATTAAAGAAAATTGTTGAGCTATTCGTTCTTTTTAATTAATAAAAAATTATTTCAACTATTTTTGTCGATATAAAGAGTTATTGTATTTGTTGATATTTAATTCTGTTACAACATTAATCGGATAAATATTAAGGGGAAAGGGGGCAAACTATGCAAATGGGCTTGGACTTTCATTAAAATTAAATGAACTACAGATGATATGTGGGAGATTTGAGTTGATACATTAGCTCAGATCTTGATTGGTTAATAGAAGGAATGTACACCATTTTAAGCATGTCATAAAAAAAAAAAATTGATAAACAATGCGATTGTTAATAATAATGGCATGAAACGGAAATTCATTGTTACCCGTACGTTTTTAGTTGGAAAATTCATTCAAATTTAATACTAAATATTAAACATTATTTTTTGTTCCTTTTATAATCTGTCTTGCATTTATACTACCACATTTATTTAAAATTATATATATCCGTGCTTATTTCGGTATGTATTTACAAAGTGTGTCTTCTAAAAGATAATAAAGGATTAGTTTACAATTTGTTGTATCACCAACCAATAATTATTAATCAAATTACTTTTAGACCGAATTTTACTTGATTTTTTTCTTTAATCGAACTTCTGGAGTGGGACTAATGAGGAAGAAGAGATCACTATTAAGTTAAATTGCTTTTTGATTTATAAATATTATTTTATTTTTTTATTTTCTTATGAATTTTCGATTCTAGAATCTGAAAAAAAAAAAAAAAATCATACAATTTCTGAAAATAGGCTAAAAAAGACTATTTTAATTAACCCCCAATATCCAATTACAACACAAAAATAAAGCTTAAAAACTTTTGATTTTCGCCATAATTCTATTTTTTCGAAGAAAATTAAGCCATAATAATTCATAATTTATATTGTTTGTAAAGAAAGCAACGAAAGCTTTTTTTTTTACGTTTTACAAGTTTAAATTATAAGCAATCACACAAGCGTGATAGCAAGATAAATGATGCCTATCCAATACTTTAAAAAAAAAAGATAATAAACGATTTCGGTATGTCGATATGAATATATATATATATATATATATATATATTGTATATATATTGATCATGATTTAATCATGATCTTCGATGTATGCTAGCTCGGAAAACAGCTCCCGGCTGATTTTCTGCTCCTCATACTTTGATAATCGGCAAATTAATTTGTTCTCATTTCGATCTTTTGCCAAATCATCATCTTCCTTTAACGTACCCCCGAGAATTGTGATCTCATGATCCGAGTGAGGTTGTTCTTCTTGATTTTTTTTTTTACCGCCACGGTCGCCACCGGCTATTAATTAAAAAAAAAAAATTGTTTATATATGTATTTAATCAAAATTAGATTTTTGGATTGATTAATATACTTACGCGGCTTGGTAGATTCCAATGGAGTCAATGGAGTGAAAAACTCGAAGATCAAGTTTTCTTTCCTCCATTGTTTCGCTACGTCACCATAAAGGTTGACGAAAATATCTGCGAGATTTGGGTTCTTGGTTTTCACTTTCTTCCATAACAGCGAAGAGATCCGCGAAATATCCTTTCGCTCAAAATGGAAGTTGAGCGTTATTAAACATAATTGTACTGGTCTGCGAAAAATTAGAAAGATCGTGGGAGGTTTTTTACTCCCTGGCTATAGTCAAAAATATCAAAAATATGTTAGTAGAATTCACATTATCTGGATAAGTATGTGTCTAACAATTTAAATACCTTGCACACGCCTAATACTTCCACGATAGTCGGAATTGTAAAGAGTGTAACTTTCCCGGAAATGCAGAACAGATATTGGTCATTATCTTCATATAATTCTGCTTCGGGCAATGAATTGGCGGCCATCTTTTTACTTTAGTTGGTGGATCGAAAGAAAGAAAAAAAGTAATGGAAAAGTAAATTATGATAATTATTAACAAAGATGGTTTGTATAATTATAAGCGGCAGCTATTCGCAGGAGGAATTGAGGAAAGTCCGTACTTGTACGAGATTTGATTTAATTCAAAAAATGAGGGAGAAAATTTTCGATTCTTTTTATAATTAAAAAAACAAAGACATTACTTATCATAATGACATAACTTTTTACTCCTATAAAATTTAAAGTACTCAAAATCACTTATTTTTTAGTTTTTAGGAGGATCGTTATAAGTTAATCGGAGTTTGTTAACAAATCAGACATAGCATATGAAAGAAATTTTGATCACAAAGTTTCCTTTATGTAATTATAATAACCAAATTTTATTATAATGAAAGATTTATTTGCTACGCTTTAGATCTTTTACGATTACATTTTCTAAATTTTTACTTCTTTTTTTAAGTTAATAAGTTAATTATAGTTTTTTCTGTTTCAATTGAATTGTATGTAAAAGTAAATAAAATAAAGTAAAGAATATTTAAAATATTATTATTATATTTTAATGTTAATAATAATAAATTGTTTATGTGTATATAAAAACACTTTGGTATTGTAACATCAAATCGTTAATTTAAAATCGGGACAACACGTTTGTTTGTGATACTTGTCGATTAAAAAGAAAGAATAAAGGAAATAACCATTACTATCTATAACTTGAAAAATAATAGATTAAATGATAATAAATGATCGAGTATTATTTAAATTACTCATATGATCTAATTTTTTTTTATATTTACGAATTAATCATATTTTTTTCCATGTGTCGTTTGTTGTTTAATAAATTGATTTTTAACTTTGATTGGTAGGGAATTTATAGATAAATTTTGAATTGTTAGGTAAAAACAATAAAACTGCTGACGGTATAAAATATTTATAACTGGAAATGTATGATGATTTCATCTTTTTGAAAGAAAATGATTTTACGGATCATTGGAAATGAATTGTCGTCCATATTACTCGTATTTGTATATCAAAGGGTCCCAATGATATTGGGAAAACTTATTTCCGAGGAAGAAAATAAAATAAACAAATATTTATTAATATGGTCTAAATCGGTTTTTTTTTCTGTTCTTTGATAAATTATCAAAAAGGCAAAGATTTGAATGAATCACCACTATCCAAAAATTTGATGATCAATATGATGCAATGTAATGCAATATCGCAGCATCCCTTATAGTGTTTCTTGCAGAAAATAGATAATTTCCGGAATACGTTCCGAACGATCATAAAAATATTTTTATTTTTTTTAATATTTGAATTTTATTTACTTATTTTTAATTTATTATTATTATTTATTATTTATTTGTTATCATTATTTTTTGTATTGGAAAGAATATTTTAAGGAATAAATTTTTATTAATCGTCAGAATTTTTGTCAAATAAACCGGATTATTAAATCCGCTTATTTTATCATAATGTAAGGAGATGTTTGTAACACTTTATATTTCAATTTTTATTCAACTTTTCCAAATTAGTAGATTAGTAATAAAGAATAACAAAAGTACAATAGTAATAATAGTAAAAAATAAAACTTCTACCAATTCTTGAACGAATGGATCGTTCCGGACATGGAATTTAGAATTTTTCTCAGCCCTATCATTATATTATTAATTCATGATTTTCTTTTCCGTTAAGAAAGAAGTTAACGGATCATGCATATCTTTGATTGTTTAAATTTTGAAGCAGTAGAAATCTTTTTGATTTTTTTTTTTAAAATGAAAATTTTAATATGAAATAACAATAAATAATTATAAATATATATATATATACTTTTTTTTTTTTATTAGTGTTTATCATTGTATGAGAAAATTGCGATGATTATAATAAGACTAACCTAATTTGGATTATATATGCTTTATATGTAAGAAAAATGACTTGAAGGTAAGAAAGAAATTTTGTCTCATCTGTATTTATTGAATTTTTACATGTACGGTTAATCAACACAAGTTATCAGATTGTTTTGTAAATTTACGTCATAATCAGTATATGTTTAAAGCATAAGCACTAGATATCTTTATTATATTGACATTTACAGATGCACATTTGAATTTAAGGTTACACACGAGGATAACATTGCGCAATGTGCATATAATAATCATTTTGAAGATTAAAGAGATAAGATTAAAAACAATTAAGTTTTAGAATGACACATTGAAGACATAAACATAATAAGAAATCATAATAACATGTGTGTTTGTTGGAAGAATCATTGTTTGAATTACTATCGTGCATATAAGGCGTATTCTAAGTCCTCCATCTAGCCATTTTATTAACCGTTATTGAAGTGTTAAAATCTATAAATAAGGGTATAAAATGAACGGTAACAATGCTATTGTAGATAAATTAAGCAACTACTCTTTATATGATCACTTGATCATATGATCAACATAGGGCTGTGTGGACTTTCAATATACAAATAAGCTATGCAAAAAAAAAGCATGATACGAATGTATTCCAAATTCTATTTCTCATTTTTTACTGATAATGTAAACATTATCGCATTCTATCCCTAAAATAAATGCAATAAGATATCATTATCAACTCGAATTTATCATAAATTAACGCATTTACGTTCTAGTCAATAAGTTACAGTAATTGAAGTTGCTAGAAATCCCAATTTCAAAATAATAGATTTGTTAAACATTTTCAACAATAAGATTTTTTTGATGTACTCGCTTTCAAGAGGTACACTAGTTATAGTACCTCTCTGGTTATAATTCGTGATGGTTGTATTTCTGTTTAATGAATCTTTGATAACATTCATCCTCTTGGACATTCTAAATACAAATTCGATTTTTTACTTTTATCTGTCAATCAAATTTTATAATTATGAACTTACTTTTACTTAAATGCCGAGACAGAAATGCAATACTATGTTTGGTTGTGTTTGTAAGTTTTGCAGGTTATTTCATGCTCCCTTATCTCATATGTAATATCAAACCTTCCAGGTTTTTTTTGGCAATTTACCTCTTTCTGCGAGATATTTTCATTTCAATTTCAGTTAGTACACTATATAGGCGATAATAATAATAATAGTAACTAACTTATATACTACTTTAATATTTCCTTCTTCTAGTATCGATTAACTCCGTACATTTACTTGGAATATCTTTATAAAGAATATTATTGTAAAATATTGAAAATATATCGTGAAATTTTTTTTATATCAATATTATACAAGTAAATAAATGTTTCTTTGAGAGAGAGGTCGGAAAGAAATACTAGTCATGCGCCGTCGATATTTTATTCAAATAATTGTTGCACTTAATTTAACTTATTTAACTCAATTATTTCGGATTTAATCTCAGATGAATAACCGCATTTGGCATCAAAGTACGAATTTACGGTCACATGTATAATTTATGAATCGGGTTCTGTCTAGGATTTCATGCCTAAAAAGTAGTGTGATTTAGACAAAAGTGCGGTTTTTAATTCTGACCGGATTTAGTGCAATTTCGGTTGGAATTAAATCATAAATTTACTTAATTTGGGCCGAGATTTGTTAAAATGAATCATATGATCAGAATGTGCGTGAAAATTTTCCAAAAAAAATACGAAAAGTGTGAAAAAATAGCAAAAGTGCGAAAAAATGTGGTCGTTCCATCCTGGACACTCTAGTTCATGAGAAGAGCTTCGTAGATTTCGTTTGAAAGGTGGGCCTGCAAATAAAGTTTCTGAATTTACTAGTATGATAGTTAAAGACCGAGCTAATAAGTAATTAAGGCTCGTATAATGAATGTTCTTTATAGCATATAACTAATGATTTTCCGATTCACAAATAGAAAAATTAATTGGATTATGGAAACAGCATTAAAAATTTTTGGTGTATGTATTTACAGTACAGACCCCGGCAAAAGTAATGGCGGTCAGTTTTTTTAATATAGACAACATAACGCCGAAGCCATTTCGCCGAAAATGATAGAAATAATATTAATCGCGCAATGAAAATAAATTATTTATTAAAAAACATCAGGAACCTTAATAGATATTCTGATTTACATTCGAGTATGATACAAATGATAAATGCATAAAATAAAACTTAGATGTTGTCGATTCTTGATTTTCATTTTTTAGTTTCTATTTTACATTTTTCTGCCACGTCACCTATTTTTGCAATAAAAATAAAAAAAAATTCTTTTTATTTTTAAGTGTCTTTTCTTCTATGATATTATCACTTTAACATTCAAGTAACTGATATTAATTGTTAATCAATAAATAAATAACTTTATTTTCCTGAAAACATTTATTCAGTAAAAAATGATTATTATATTATAAACAACAGGACAAATTTAATAAAAATTAGCCGATTCAAAAAATTTTCTAGGAAAGATTCTTCATGTATTTAGTATAAATAATAAAATAAACAAATGTAATAAATAATATTTCGGCAAACGTCCATTCGGCGAAATGGCTTCGGCGAAATGTCCATTCGGCGAAATAACCATTCGGCGAAATTGATTCGGCGAAATAACCATTCGGCAAAATTGCTTCGGCGAAATGGGAATTCGGTGAAATGGGTTTCGGCGAAACGTCCCTTCAGCGAAACATCCCTTCAGCAAAATGGCTTCGGCGAAATGTCCTGATACCTTAGTATTGACATTTAAAATAAAAATATTTAGAATTTTGGCATTTTTTATAAGAGAGGTATATATTGCTTAAATGAGCATTCCACTGTTTAATTTGGTATAAAAGTAATGCTCTAATTGGGATAGTAATGAGTTATGATCAAATTAAGAAACGATATTCTCACCGCCATTATTTTCGCCGGGGACTGTATATACAATATTTTTGGGAGAATGATGAAAGAAGTACGTAGTAATATTTGAAGATCTTTTTACTGTGGAACTTGCACTATGATAAAGACGGGCAAGATTTATAGTTTCTGTTTTGAAATATTTGTAATTATAAATCAATTTTAATTTTTCTTGGATTTCTCAAAATATCGACAAATTCGAATTTCGAGATTCTAATTTTGCTCGAACGAATACTAGTTATACTAGTTGCAAATGGAAACTCTGGCTAGATTAATCATTAGAGCTAGTAGCGCATAATGTCTTGAAAAATCTCGATTATTTTGAAATTCATTCATTGCTATTTTTCGTTAAAAAGCATTTAAGATTTGATATAAATACATTATCAGTGAAAGCTTGCTTCGAGAATTTCGGAGATGTACTTCAAAGTGGAATTGTGCCATGTCATATAACACAAAATTATATAGCATCAATGACATATAAACATAATTGCAGATACTGTATAACGTGTTATTATGTTTATAACATGCGTTATTTATGTTATATAACACGTTACATAACGGTTATATATGTGATATAAGTGTTATCTGTTATATGCCCCATGCAGAATATTAATTTTTTAGATGAGGAGTCACTTTTTGTTTTGAACGTAAGATCTGCATTTTTACTTTCTCTAATTAATATTTGCCGTAAAGCTAAATAGAATATTATTTTTAAAAAAACAATAAAAAAAAAAAAGAAATTTTATTATTATTTATGCTTAATTATCTCAAAGTGTTAAAAAGTTATAAATTTAATAAAAATGGCGCTTAATTATAATGTAATAAAAATTTATTAAAATGTACAAAATCCTACAAAAAAATTTTGAGCAAAATATTTGTTTAATTTTGACTATTTAACTACTATGGTAGAATTTTTTTATATCATATTAATTTATCGCTGAACACCGATTTTTAAATTCTCCTGCATATAATTGACTTTAACCTTCATTTTCTTGCCATCTATAGGTCAGATTGAAATAAAATTACCATTACTAGATTCCCTGTGAAAGCACAATTTAACTGATAATATTTTGGACTCAAACATACCGTCTTTGAAAGTAGTTAGCTTTGTTATGTACAAGAATTTGATTTTTATCGTCCGGGGCGAAGCTTCGTCTGTTGGTATAAATGCAGTGGACTTTGCCATCGGAAAGGTGGGCATATTATTTACAAGAGGCGAATCTAACGTTATATTCATGCGAATTTAGTGACATATTATCACGTGGAGATATCGCACACTGAAATTTTGTGCAGGTTTTAAAGTCCACCATTTAAGCAGCATGTCAGATGGATTCCAATGATGGTAATTTTGTGGAAATCTGACTACTGGATAGCGAGAAAATAGAGAAATAATTAAAAAATTAGATTATAAAAATGAAAGTTAACAGGATTATTAAATAAATACATTTATTAGTTACTCATGGAATAACAGGCTTATCTCATTGTGTATGACGTATACACCGATGGATTTTATACTTTCACTTTTTTTTATACCGGTGGAATAATTTACAAAAATATCCATCAGTGTATACGTCATACACAATGAGATAAGCCTGTTATTCCATGGGTATCTAATAAATACTCATATGGCCCCTCCCCGAAGGGAGGGGAGCATCAATGAATATTTCAGTTATTCATTGATACTCATGGAATGTATTTTCATCCTTTTTTCAGAATATAAAAAATTTCATATTTAATTTAATTTTTTTCATAATGTTAATTAAAACTGACCGCCATTATTTTCGCCAGGGTTTGTAATCATTCTTAGCCTTTAGCAAATGATTCATTAGTCTGCTTTTTTTGCCTAATCTCTTTGTAATCCTCTCGCATTATCCACTTTTTCATAGAAATTCACCATCCTGAAAAGAAATATAATTAAGTAAAGCTAACGATGATTATATTTTTAATATAGGAGGATCATCCTTAATAACTGGGACCTTAACTTTTCTTATTGAAGTTATTGAAGATTTTCATCATTAGATGATAAAATTGAATTAGCTTTCGATTGAATTCAATTTGTCATTCAATACAATTTTATTTTTGATCTAAGAGTAATAATGATCATCTCTTCGCTCAATAGTTGATGTCATTTCTTCATAAATATCTATATATGATATCAAGATCATTTTCAGTGGCCGTTGTATTTTCTAGAATATAGAAATATTATTTATTCTCTTCATACTTATTTTATATTAGTATTAAAGTAAAAGCAAAAACATCCAAAATCACTTAGATTATGGAATTTAAAGGTTACAAAGATTACGTATCAGTGTAGTCGTGCCATATTAGCACAAATATAATCCATTTTTTGAAGATGAAGAAATTAAAATTAGTCAACTTCATAAATGCACACTCTATGAATGCACCCACTATATGCTTTATAATTATTTTACTCTATAAATGCATGCCCTCTTTAAATATGCTCCCGTAAAAAATTTTATCCGTAATTTTGTATGAATATGAGACATTTAACATGGATTAAAAAATGCGGAATAATTTTTTTTATAGGGGTTATTTTAAAAAATATACAAAGTCCCAAGTTTGTAGAAAGTTGACTAACATAAAAATTGATGTTCGATATCCGGATATTCGGATCAAGTACAGGGCCGTGGCACAATATAAGTGTACCCTTAAGCGTGTAACCTGAGATTTCCAGTTAACCCTTACGAAATGTGATTTATTAAAACTTTGTCAATCATCAGCTTAACAAATCTGATGCATCCAAATTATCGGACTTTTTAGTTTAAAGGAAAGGTTCCTCTCTTACCAATTTTTTGAAACGTTGTTGTCTTTCCACTTTATTTTTAATAAAATATGCAGAAAATATACAGATGATTTTTAGCATCTAGTAGGCGAAATACTGTGAACACGTGTAAATATTATACTCAATCTGTCTAGACATCCTTGTGTATCCCCCGCTTCGGGCAAATAATCTAAAAAAAGTGATGATCTTTGAAAAGTAATTAAACCAGTAAAATTAAAAGATGTTCTTTATGTGAAATTGTAGATTTATATTCCGAGAAAATATTTTATACACAGTACATTACATAATCCTTAAATCCCACCCCTTATATTAAATTTCGACTAAATATATTATTTAATTAAAGTTCTTAAATGTAACGTACATATATATATGTATAATATATAGAAAGATGATAACTTCATCATCCTTCGGATGATAACCCATTTATATACTACTAGAAACACAATCGTTGATGTTCCCACAAATCATTTACTTTTTCGTCTGATTGTAAGATGGACCCGAGATTGCTTTTTTTATCATTTCCGAAATACATTATTTTTTTACAATAACATTAGATCGTGTTAAAACTCGATCGAAATCTTATTTTTTTTTATTATTTTTTTTTTTTTTGCCACGCCCAATAATAAGCCGGATGTTTTTTGTTCCATCAAAAAAAAAAAAAATTTTTAAATTACAATAAAAAAAAAAATTTTTAAAATTACAATAAACAATTAAAAAAATAATATGATTGCAGTAACCAGTACTGCTTGTTTTTTCTGTCATTCAGACTATTCAGCCTTTGAATTATTGTTATTTGAATTATTGTTATTTGAATTATTTGCAGAGGAAGTCAGTGAATCTTTGTAATTTACCACTGTACTATTAATCAAAAGTTTTTTTAAGAAAAAGAATACTGTCAACCAATTTGTCACAATTAATAAATGAAAAAATAATAATTCCCATAATCTTTAAATCTTAATGAAATACTTAATGAATACTTACTAATAAATCAAAAAACTTTCAACAGTCAATGCGAGTAACGGGAAGAAAACATATTGAATCCAATAATAAAACATATTCCACATAAAAACATAAATTGTATTGGTTCTATGCGAAATACTCATAATGACAAATATAATTGCTTGAGAAAGTAATCCACCAAAGATCGCCATTACAGGTGTAGTTATCTACGTAGATAAAATATTAATACGATATAAGAAATAAATAAACATATTAAATGGTATATAATATACATAAAGAACAATAATTACATTTCTGGCACTCTTTTTGATACTTTGTACTTGACCGCTACTAGTAACCCCCGATGAAATGTTACGATCTTCTATTACTTTAATATAACTCTTTATTACAGACATTAACTTGTACCAAAAGTATATTAACACCAAACTGTATATTACTTCCCAGATTACAATAGCAATATATTTTGCTGCAAAATAGTAATTTGCTGCTTCGATATCATTCCTATCAGCATATTCTCCTGTTAATGAAGATAGTGGAAACCACGCGAATATTGGTAACAAAAATAATAATATTCCAATAATGTCAACAAGAAGTATATTTGGTCCATATTTTTTACATAAGAGCTCATAATTCTCATTAAACTGTACGTTTGGTGTTGCATAAACTAACGACGAATTAGAAAGTTATTATTATAAAGAATCAAAGAAAGAAATCATTTGTTTTTTTAATTAATATGAATTATTTATAATTTACCTATACTAATGGTATAAAGTATAGCGGCTGATGCAGAAAAGACCACTGCCGATACATTACCAACTGTTAATATTTTAAAAAAGTTCAATAAAGTTTCTTTTACACATAAAACATTTAAACTTTGTCAAAAAAAAAATCTTACGTTCTGCCGCTTTGACACTAGGATACAATTCAACTTCCAAAGCAATCAGATGAAATGCTTCAACTAAAAAAAAAAGGGAATTTAACCTCTAATAATTTCGCTGTGACAAAATATCAAAAATATCCAAACTTACGAGCCATATATGCAATCACTAACAAGTGATATGAATGCATAGGTTTGGGTCTTATCCATCCTCTCTCATTGGAAGCAGGCAAGAAGAATGGTTGCTTCCTAACTTTAATAAGATATATCAAAAGTCCACTGGCCATAATTGTTGCCAATATAGACATTATTGCCAATATCCATCCAGAAGTAACATAAAGTTCACTATGTTCACATCCATATATATTTACGCGGAAATCACAAGAGCAAATTTCTTCTCCATTTTCTGTTTTTTTACACAAAAGAGTGAAATTATTTATAAGACGAACCATATTTGAAGTTGGGATTTACTTTGAGTGAAGATAGAAAAAGTTAACTTATATATATAGGATTTTTTATTATATATGTATATGTAATCTGCGTACTTAAATTAAAATTAAATCTTAAATTACAAAGCCAATCGAAGTATTTTGTTAAGTTTCTGTGTTTAAATTTACCAATAGGGTTTGCATTTAATTGCATTTAATTGTTGGTAAATCATTATGAAAGCATTATTTGATTATTTCATAAAAAAAAAATGAGTAAACATAAATAAAAATAATTATTGAGTTTCCGATTGATTCGGATAAACTTTCTTGTAACTCCAAATAAAAAAATATATTTTAAAATTATCTTTGCTCATTCCATTTTTTTTTCCCCAATTAATTTATAGTTAAAACAAAATATTCTTTTCTATAAGCTCATAACTTTAATTTTCTAGCATAAAATGTATTAATCTTAGATAGATTAATAATTAATTAAAATGCTTTTACTAGTAATTACCTAAATTTTAAATATTCTAATTACTAATTATTTGTTCAACGTAACTGGATAAAGTATAAAAGGACGTTTATCATTGCTACTTACAACAAATTATCATTCGTTCCCAATGATCTTATTTACGGGCAACTTATGATGGTTCTTTTTCTAGAATTTGAGCGAATATACTGTGCATATATATAAAAATGAATGATTCAATCATTTATTTACATATTATATTATATTAATTCGAATTAAGTATTCTTCCTGATTTACCTTTCGAAAATCCTTCTATTTCTGATAGAATTAAACAATTATTATACTATTAATGTTAGTAATATTAAATTAAAGCACCAATAATTTCAATAATTTCCTATTGGGAAATCATTGATGAAAGTTATAATTTTAAGAGCGCATTGGTATTTTTAGTATAATTAATTTAGAAAATTATTACGTATAATTTGTAATCTTGCTTATAAACCGAATTTCTCCCGGAATAGAAATAAAGTATTACAGCATTACGAGTACATTTGTACAAAAGTAGTTATGCTGGGAATATTAGAAAGTAAACAATTAATTATTACTTCCCCACGGAAATATTCGGCCTGTCGATCCAGACTCCAAGTTGTTATCTGCATATCTGATATTGCGCCATTTTTTTTATAGAATTATACATTTGGTAGTTTTTGAGAGGAAACCGCGCAGGGTTTACAAGATCATCAAGATACTGTAATAGGGTACTAATGAAGCACAGACCGGAACAACCTGCTCCCGGATGCATATTCTACTCTTGCATAATTGCATTGTTTCCATAGATTACTATTTTATATCAAGAGTTCAAAAGGCATCTACGATAAATATCAAAACTTTTTTTATATATCAATATCGATACCGATTTGGTAATTTTTAATATATACAAAGACACTACTTATTTTGAGTCGTAAATTCTACTTAGTATATTTGTTAAATCACGGAGATTTGAATTACCGTTCTGTTTGTTTAATAATAAATCAGCAGTCGTCATTTGTTTTGTTTAGGTCTGCGGGTGATCATTAACAATAAATCATAATAATCATAAAATCATAAATCTATAATGCCGGCTGAGAAATCAATTTATATCCATAAATATTCAGTTGATTTATAAAAACACGTTCCAGTTCTTTTATACCCCAAGAAATATGTCTTCTGCATTTTTAACAACGGTAAATAAAAAAAATTATCATGTTGAAAGATAATTCTCGTGATTTCATTATTTTAACAAATATCTTAATAATTCTAAGGATTCGTCGGAGCAAATAACGCCTTTATTTAAGGCTAACACAACGAATCCAAAACGACTTTTTGAAATTCTCAAAGGTGTTAGCTTGAAAAAAAAAGTGAATAATAATAATGAACAACAATAATAATAAATTAATAATAGATTAATTGTCTTTTTTTTAAAAGATGTGATTAATTTTCCTTAAGAATTACTTATCTGTTCCTTCTTTTTCTCGTTTTAGGACTTGGGTCATATGTCTATAACACGTAATGGTATATCCGTGAAAACCGGTTCAACTGGTCAATTTCAAGGTAAAGAAGTTCCTTTTTTTTAAAAAAAATAATAAATAAATATTTTATTTAACTATATTATTTATTTACCTTGTTTTTTTAGCTGTAACGTTCATTCCGCGCGAATTCTTCTATTCATATACTTTTAATGGAACGGAAACACTTGAAATTGTTATTATATTATCAGATCTGTATGGAATTTTAGGGATTGTCCAAGATGATTATGATTCTTTTGATCAACCTTTGGATGAGGAATATCACTCTTTACAAGGATATTCTTCTGAACTAGGAGATCAAGAAGGTCAACAACAGTTATTCACAGATGACGGTGGTGATGAATCAATTACGAGTAATGAATTCGGATTCAACTATCAAGAACTTGAAGCATCATTTGAATATGAGAGAGAGGATGCAACATTTAATGTAAACTTATTTGATAATACGACTTCAAGTATGATTGAAATAATTCCTGTATTACAAGAACCATTACATGATATTCCTGAACCACCAAATAAGGTTATCTTTTTCAAAATTTTATTTTACGAATTGAAAAAGATTCTAAGAGACTGCATCAAAACTGGATCAAAATTTCGATTGAATGGATACAAACATGAAATAACCGTATTGAGATTTAGTAGTCGTAATGAACATCAATTTGTTGAAGTAATAATGTTTATAGTGTTATTGAAATTTATCGTATTATTTGAATTTATATTTATTTTCTTTTGTTAATATTAATAGCATTCTATTAGACCCGATGCATTTTTTCAATACAGGATTAATGATGATTTTCAATTCACGTACGTAAAAAGGTATTAAACTCAAATATTTTTATACAATGGATTTTGTTCATGTTCTATAAAATTTTTTTTATTAAAATAGATACCCAAAGCAACACATTCAACCTTTGTTATCCTTACTTATCAATAAAAAGGAAAATATAGAAGTGGCAATTTATACAAATGGACTAATGAAGATGAAGTTTTGCCCTGGTGATGTACATAATTCATACGTAAATTATATGGTAAGTATATGTGTAATTGTGAACATGAAGTATTTTATTATAATAAGTTGACCTTTTTTTTTAAAAAAAAAAGATGACGACAATGGTTGAAGGCGAGTGATCTATTATACGAACTTAGTATTTGCGGTTATATATTATATTTGTATATATATTCCATTTGTAAATATTTTAATAATTCTTATGTACAAAATAAACACTCTTTGCAGTTAAATATCTTACTGGAATATGTCATATCATAATAAATACTACTACTACACTTTACTTAAATTTAGCTAAAAATTCTTCTTTAAACTTGCTTTTTTCTAATAAAATAATAAAATTTGGAATTCCATCTTTAATAACATATTTAGGATGAGATAAAACTTCTTTTAAAGTACAATTTTTTCCAACTTTAACTAATTTAGTTGTCGGTACAGCATCACTACCACCTACTACAGGTGTGGGTAAATTATATTCAAAATAAATCAATAATTGAGAAGGGATATATTTCTTTTCATTATCCCATGGAGCATGTTGTTCAAACATTACTTCTAAATGATCTAAAAATGTTGATTCCTCATTAAATGATTCAATAAAGTCCGATTCTTTATACTCTGGGTATAAAAAAAATACTGGCCAAATTAAATTATTTGTTTGTTTATCTAATCGAACTGATCTTAGTGATGTTTGTGCTTTTGATGATGAATATTCCATTCTTATATTTCTTTCCTATAAAGAATTTTTTGATCAATAAAGGCTTGACTTGCGAAGAACAAAAAAAAAAATTTTAAATACCTTTATCGCTCTCTTTAATTCTTCTTCTGATTCACGTTCTTTATGCTCTCTTTCTTCTTTCTCTTTACGTTTCTTATCCAGAACTTCTTTTTTCTTTAAACATTTTTCTTTTTCATTCTGTAATGCTAAATTATTAGGTTGTATCTATATAGTAAAAATTTGAATTAGAATTACTTAATCTCCAAACAAAAAATTAGATTTAAAATGAGGCATTTTACCGCAAGTCCATGTTCGCAACAATCTATAGCTTCTTCAATTCTATCAAGAGCATATAATGCTTTTACAGAACGATAATATGCTTTAATGTTTTTTGGATTTAATTTTAATGCTTTTGAACAATCTATTAAGACTTTTCTATAATTTTCTATTTTAACATCAAAAAGAAGTTAATTAATTAGTAATTTTTAAAAAATATATATCACTTTTCATTTTTTTTTGAGTATATACACATATACATACCTAATTCGAGATTAACAGCGGCTCTATTAGTTAAACAAGCCTCAATAATTTTATCATCTTTACAATCTGTTTCTAATGCTTTTGTGTAATAATTTATTGCATCTTTATATTGTGATTTACCAACTTTAAAACATTCATTTCCTTGATTCTTAAAATTTTCTGCTACCTCTATTATTTTAAAAATATATTTAAAAGAATTTTACTAAACTTATATAGAAAAATAAAAAGATAACTATGATATTACAAAGAATACCTTCAGGAGGACCGTCATAGATCAGAGACTGTAAAGCGGCTAAAGTATCATTCTCTTCTTCAGGTAATTCGGTCATGAATAAAGGTATTTTATTCATTTCTTTAAGTAAATCAGTACCTTCCCCAAATCCTCCATCTACTTTTGCTTTTTGTGGTCCTAACATATTTGTCATTATTTGAAATACTCGAACTTTTTTTTTTCGAAAAAAAAAACTTTTTAATCATGATAATCTACAATTATTTTCACGTGATGTAAACTCTTCACAGGCCACATATACAATTCACAACATAATTGCTTTATACTTAAAAGTTTACTCCGGTGGAAAAATGAAAGAAAGTTACGAAACATCAATGTACCTTTGCTACTTTTACTTGGATTATCGCAAAGATTTCCATATTAATTAAGATGCACCATATCTTTGCCGAAGAGGAAGACGCTATTCAACTATGCGCGTGATTTATATGACGAAAAGAACGATCCAGGAGTTCAGTATGAAATCACGAAGGGAAATGGTATGATTCTCTGGCAGCTGATGGTGTTGGTGAGTTGGTCGTATCGCAGTGGATAATATCATCACCTATCTACATCACGATATTGAAGAATATGAACCTGGGACTGTTATGTATATCGTTTACGCTTATTGGGATTATCGCAAAGAAAATAGTGTCATCTTCCATGCCGCATTCGACAATGAAGTTGAAGCACTCGAATTTGCGGAAGAGTTAGGAGATGGAAAGGAAAGTGAAGGTGAATATGCATGTCAAAGTGGAATGCTATTCGATCAACATGAGAAGGATCAAGAGAGTCTATGGAGGATCGCCGTGGACTATGTAATCAATGCATATAATGCATATGTATGTAAAATGTTTCAAAAAATGTTTCAATAATATAATTCTTGAATCTCGACAATTCCGGATTACTCACCGTAAAAGGTCAATTCATATGACCTTTTGTTTATTGAACTTCCAAATGTGAGTTAAATTAATTCGTGATCCTACGATGATCGATAGAAAATCTTGACTGGGGAAAAACAGGACCTTTTTATTAGTAAATGTTGCACAGGTAATGAAATCCTGTTTAAATATTTGTGCAACATGTGTTTTAATTAAGAGACAATAATATTAATTATTTAAATTTTGTTAATTATTATTACAATAACATTTTTAAATCATCCATTTGCAGATTCCTTTCGATCGGATGAATGTCCAAAAATTTTTATTTGTTAACATAATAATACTGCATAAATGTTCCTTTTGTAGGTTTATAATTAATCTATTGGCTTTGTGAATAAATGCACTGCATATTTGCATGTACCTGAATGATATATTAATTAGAAATAAAATGGAGTATTATTAGTTTTTTGAACAAAAATAAAGATTTCAGATGATAGATATTACGATATTACGAGCGTTTCACACCCTTAATTTTGTAATATTACAATTATCGATTCCCAGGTTATCAATCAATAGTCTTACAAGAATATTTTTTATTCACAGTTTTGGTCAAATCGTTCAACTATAGGTGCATTTTTTGAAGATCCACTATCTACAAAAAAAAAACCAATTAAAAATTAGATATCAACCACTCTGAACAAATTTGGTTAAATTTCAATAAATATAAATATACCGTTATTGTACGAATAAAAAATATTTCGAAACTTTGTCTACATGATTATAACTGACTCTATAACTAATTTATATTTATTAATATATAATTGCTTTTTTTAACCAAACAACCTTTAAATCGTTTCATGATAAAAAGAAATATAAAAAGAAAATCTAGGAAGAGATCTTTTTTAATCTATCTAATTTATAGATCTAATAAAAAAATAGAAAAATATGAAAAAAAAAAATTATTAACGTAACTGAAAAAGTGACTGAAAAGCATTTGAATTTCTTGCATAAAAAGGTTAGTTATTTTTAATCTCAACGTGGAAACAATTATTAATGGTTTACTAATTGCTTGTTTTGAATTATATATACTCTTAACTTTTTACACTCATGGCAATATGCTAAACACTAATAGGCTAAAACTTTCCCCTTATGTTATATATTTAAATTGTATAATTATAAATAACAGATAGGTTTACTTTATAAGCAAATGATTTACTTTATAAGGTAGTGAATTTAAAACAAATTGATTATAATAAATAAGGTATGATCATCAATTTCATTATTACTTACCAAAAAAAAAAATTATTTATAACAATTCCAACGCATATAGCCGATGGCTTTGTGGAAAAAAAGGGATATAATAATCTGAAAAGAAGTTTCTTATTTTAACTTTCTAAAAAAAAAAAATTTACTATATATATAAAATTATAAAAAAAAAAAAGTTGCTTCGTCTCTTTTAATAATAATTGAGTTATGGTTATTTGAGAGCTCAACTTTATTTTATATATATATATATGTATATTTTTTTTTTATATTATTTAAAAAGATTTTTTTTTTTTACTAGTAAAATATGCCATTTACGTTAGCAGCACCACACTCAGAGGTTGAACCTTCTAGACAAGAAACTCAAAGAGCTTCGCTTTTCAATACTAACGCCGTTTCCGATACCGCCACTACCACAAATCATCACCCACAAAGACAAAGAAGTGCATGTAGTTTATTAATTCAAACCCTAAAAACGAATTCAATGGTTCGTTATGGTGTATTAATATTTATAATAGCATTAATTAGCATATTATATTTTGCTACAACACATCAAGTATTAAAACCGACAGGAGCGGGACCAACAATAACAAGTGAATTATTAACCTTTAACCCAAAGAAAGTTCCAGATACTATTCAAAAGCCACCCGATGATGGATTTCTTTCATCAATAGGTGGTACTCAACTATATGATACTTATGATGCCAATGGTAAAGGAAATGTACAGCAGAAAGTTGAAGGTACTTTAACAAATAATACAAGTCAAAATTTAAGGGGAATATTATATGATCGTGGAGATGGTTGCCAAAGTATTAAGTTCGGTTCAGCTGAACCATCACCACCGGGAACTATTCCTTCAATTCCAGTACCTAATGCACTTTCACCTTATAAAATTGGTTTAATAACATCTGATGCTAGTCCAGCGAATCCAAATTGTAATTTAGCAACGAAAATTAATAATTCGATAGCTGATAATGATACAGCATTAATTTTAACTTATCAAAGTAATATGGATGAAGTTTTAAAATTGAAACAAAATGATTATGAAATAACAATATTTACTATTAATAAATCAGCGGGTAAGAGTTTATCAGATGAATTAGATCTTATACATAGCAAGTATTTGTCGAATAAAGATGAAACTACTAGAACTGTCTTAACTGTTACTTTGAGCCCTTACCGTCAATTGGTCGTTAGTTCTTGGTTATTCGCTATGTTTGCAGTTGGTGGTATTTTAGTTGCTTCATTTTTTGTGTCCATTTTAATTCATATGAGACTTTATCGTTTAAGGAGGAATCAACAAGATGAAGTAAGAAGACAGAGAGCTGTTGATGAAGAATTAGGAATGAAAAAATGGACTCTAGATAAAGAAGATATTGACACTTTCCCTATCGTTGTTTATGTTAAAAAAACTGTGACAACTTCGAGTAATGTAGTAGAATCAACTAATGATGCTGCAAAATCATCAACGAGCGATTCGGATGAACAAAATGAAAATGATGATCCAAGAACACAAAATAAAAACAATGAATCCACTTCAAGGGATCAACAACTTCATCGTTCAGGATCAACACGTTCAACACGTTCAACAAAATCAACAAGATCAGTTAATGCGATTAATAACGCAACAAATTTATATAATTCAACAACCACTCCAACCACTCCAACCACTCCAGTCACTCCGATCGCTCCAATCACCTCTCCAACCTCTCCAACCGTTTCAACCACTCCAACCACTCCAATCACTTCAACTACTCCAACAGCATCAGCAGCAACTGTAACAGATGACAGTGATGTAGATACGTGTGCAATATGTATAGAAGATTTTGAGGACGGTGAAAAATTAAGATTATTACCCTGTAAACACTGGTATCACGTAGAATGTATTGATCCTTGGTTAACAACAAAAAGTAGCAGTTGTCCTTTATGTAAAACAGATTGTAGGCCAAATCAAATTGAAGAAATAGTTACTGATAGTAGACCTGATCAAGATAATAATGTTGAAAGCGAAGAAAGTGACAGAAATGTTAATAATGTTGTCGGTAGAATGAGTAAAGCCGTTGGTAAATTATTTGGTAGTATAGGAAGAAGAAGTACAAGCGTAAGACCGGTAAATACACAACAACCACAACAACCACAACAATCACGAAATAATAATGATAGTACCGTAGTTGAATTAGAAATGGAAAACATTAATTCTTCGAGATAAGAAGAAATATTATATTTATTGTTATTAATTTTTATATATATATATATATTTAACGACATTCTTTTATATATTAGGAATGGGTGAGGCGTGTATAAGTGTATTATAATTTTTTCCCCTGTATTTTAGTTAAAATAAAAAAAAAAAATATTCATGTTGAATAAGTCTTCAAATAAAAAAATTTTTTAATTATGAGATAAAGGCTCTATTATACCTTGAATCGTACAAGTCTTTCAGATAGTGAAACGTGATACAGGTGATAAATAAACACCGTAGAGGTATATAAAATCTCGTAACGGGCTAACGGCTCTTCGTATTTAAATTAAAGTTTAGATCTTTAAGTTTATGTATCACGTTGCACCGTCAAATTCTATAAATACATGCCAATTATAGGTTATAATAGTAATTAGAAATTGAAATTTTGCGAATATTTCATAATCTAGCATGCTTGGTTTAGTGGTATAATTCGCGCCTGCCACGCGCGAGACCCGAGTTCGATTCTCGGAGCATGCAATTAAATTCTCTTTTTTTTTTTTATCCCATTTCCCCGAGAAATTTCTATGGAAATTTCCCACCTTTTATATATAAATTATATGTAACTTATGATTTCTTTTTTGTAAGGTCAAACAAATATATTTCTTTTTAAAGAATGATGGCACGATAGAAGTTTTTTATGTAACATTTTTGAAACTTTATTTTTTTTTTTTCATAAATAATGTAAAAATTGTGACATTGACATGCGGTGACTTTATTACTGTAAAAAGTATGTACTATTACTTTTAGACTTTGACCCCCAAAAAATTTTTTTTTTTTTGTTCTAAAAAAAATTTCAAACAATTCAAACAATTGCGAAATAACGAACTTTTTATAAAATCAAAATAAGGGTTTGTTTCATTGTTTAAACAAGGAAGGTTAAATAATAGATCCGCATAGAGAAAAAAAATGGAATTTACTAATTTTACTGAATAAATATAGCGGGTAATACGGAAAGAAATTTCGCAGTATTACAATATTTTATACCATTATTTAAATGGTTTGTAATTTTATCGATTTTATCATTACACGAGATCTATTTAAATAGAATGACACAAAAAATTCTTTATCGAACTGATCTTATTTTAGTTTAGAAGATTTGATAGAAAGTCAGAATCGCATCATTACGTTAAAAGGAAATATGGATATTTTGTATAATAATCGTTAAAAAGAAAATGTCTTTAATTTAAGAAATTATATTCAAGTATTTAAAACTTTAAAATCATAGAAAAAGAAGACCAAAACGTCAAAATTCGTACGTTTTTCATAGAATTAGAAAAGGAAATTATTTGTCGTACGTAGAAGGGAATTACCTCAGTATGACAAAATTGGGAACAACTGAAAAAAAACAAGGAGTTTTACTTCGAGAATAAAAAAAATTCATATTATTTCATAAATGTGATTTTCACACACTATACATTTGTGGTTTAGTTTGTTGATGAAATATTTTCCTAATAAATATAATTTCTTAACTTTGTATTGGGAAACTTATAACCTTTTTGACTTTTTTGGGATTTGTAGTCTACTTGGAGTGATATATTGTGATAATGTCGCCATGATGATCGGTCAACCCCTAAAACGTTTTTCAACCTCGAAATTTTTTTTAAACGAAAATCTAAACCTGAATCGCTTCTTAAAATTTCCTTAATTTCTTTTTATTCGATATCCCTAATTCTTTAAATGTTTATTTGTTTGTATAAAATCAAGGAATAAAAGTGTTGTGACGCGTTCATTTTACTTTTAAGCTTTGATCGATCTATAAACTTTACAGTCAAGAAGCCATTTAAATATGGCTACGATTGAGACTGCATACTATAATTCTACTTATTTGGGTTTGGGAACTCAATTAGGAATATCAGTCTCCATTTCTATATATTGTTTATTACAATTTGAATGGAATAGAAGGAAAAAATCTATGCAGTATCTATATACTCCTAGGACAAGATTAGCAAAGTGAGTTTATTTCTTTTCTTTCTTTATAGGGTCTCTTAACCAGAACCTGACTTTCAATGATTTTTTATTACAGAAATGCTTCACCACCAATACCACCAGGTTTATTTTCGTGGATAAGGGCAACTATATTTTTAAAGGATGATTTTTATTTAAAAAATGTTGGACTTGATGCGTTAATGCATATTAGATTTCTTAAGATGGCATTTCAATTTGTATTGTTTAATGCTATTATTGTTGGTTCGATTCTAATACCAATAAATTATACCGCGTCTCCTAAAGAGAAGGAAGTACCAAGAATCTCTCTTAGTAATGTTGATCCTTCAAATATTACTATTTTATGGGCTCATGTTGCATGTACATATATAGTGAGCCTTAGTTGGATGTATCTCTTATACACAAATTATTGTGATTATATGAAATTATATCAAAAACATCTTTTAGATAAGATTTTAAATGGTTCAATAACCGAACGAACCGTTATGATATCTAGAATTCCTAAAGATTTAAGATTTGAAGAAGAACTTCAAAAGTTTATTAGTAATCTTGGATTAGGTGAAGTAGAGTCTGTTAGAATGGTAAGACTTACTGGAAAATTAGATCGAAGAATTTCAAGGAGAGAAAGTGCTCTTATGTCATTAGAAAAGGCACATATTCAACTTGCAAAGAATGTTTGTTATGCTATAAAAAGGAGGAGATTACTTGGAACTGGATTTTGGGCAAGATTATTTGGTTATAATAATAATGATATAAACAGTTTTAATCTTGAAACAGGTGAAGGAAGAGATAATCAAAGAATTCACAGTCTTGTTGACCGTTTAGATCCTCGTAAGAGACGACGTACAAATACGAATGAATCCATATCAGAGAATAATAATGAGAGTACAATTAGACATTCTAAATTTCCCACATCTGAAACTTTTTCAAGTAATGATTTAATGGATCGTGAAGATGGTTACGGACGTCAATTCTTAATATGGAATGCTCTTCGTCATCTATCAAGGAATGTGATAGATATATATCAACCAACTCATAGGAAAGGTTTTTTTGGAGATAAAGAAATTTCTATTGATACTTTTTTAAAGAAATTTAATTATCTTGATCGCCGTATTGCCGAATTACGTTCAAAATCAATTCAAGGACCTCCTTATAAAGCTACAAGTACAGGATTTGTCACATTTAAAGATCATATTAGCGCGCAGTTATGTGCTCAAAGCATAATGAGCTCAGAACCCCATACCTGTACTACACAAATGGCTCCTGAACCAAGAGACATTCTTTGGGATAACTTAACAAAGGATTTTAGAGAAAAGTTAGTTCGTTATCTAGTCGTAAATGCTTGTGTCTGGTGAGTTAATTTATTTGTACCTAATAATTAATTCATTATTTAAGTATATTTAACCTAGTCTTTCTTTTTCTTAGGGCGTTGATAATATTTTGGCTTTTCCCAATTGTTGCCTTTCTTACTCTTACGACCATTGATTCACTTTCTAGTAAAATAAAATTTTTAGGTCCGTTCTTAGATACAACACCCATTATAAGAACTATGCTTCAAAATGTGTTACCAACAGTATTAGTTACATTCTTTATGTCATTTTTGCCTTGGATTTTGATGGGTTTGTCATAAAATTTAAAATTTTCTTTTTCATTCCTTTTCTAACGATGTGTAAATAAACTTATTATTGATTTAATTTATAGAATTATCAAAACAAGAAGCTTTTCCTTCATACTCAGAACTTGAAAAAGCTGTTTTAACACGATATTATTATTTTAGTATTTTCAATGTGTTCATTGTATTCTTATTGGGTACCACATTTTTATCATCTATTTTTGATGTACTTCAACAACCAACATCTATACTTGAAGTTTTAGCAAATGCATTGCCTAAGGTAAGAATCCATAATTTAAATATATTTAATGACAGATCATTTTTTTTATGTAAATTTTTTTTTTATTAGGGTGCCACGTTTTTCATAAGTTATATCATATTTAATACTTGTACTCATGGGCTTGAACTTGTTCAAGTTGGATCACAATTATTTCTTCACATCATTCTTACTTCCCGATTTATAGCAACAACTCCCCGCATGCTTCAACGTGTGACACATCCTTGGTCTTTTCCATATTATTATTATTACCCGAATCATATTTTAGTTTTTGTTATTACGGTCACTTACTCCGTGATTAATCCTTTAATTTTAGTGTTTTCTGTTTTATATTATGGCTTTGCACTAGTTGTGTTCAAACATCAATTTGCATATTGCTATGTACGTCGATATGAGGCAGGTGGAAATTTTTATCGACGTGTTTTTCGTTACACCACAGATGGTTTGATCATATTTCAACTCACTATAATTGGTGTGATTTGGTTGCGTAAAGCAATTGTGTCAGGTGCCATATTAGTACCTCTCTTGATTGGTACGGGGTATTTCAAATATTATTGTTATAAAACATTTTATTCTAGAACGCATTATTTAGCTTTGGATTCTCGCTTGTCAGTACAAAATAGTCAGCAGAATGAACAAAGCGGTCAAAGTGATCAAGGAGATATTAATATAAATGAAAATGAGCGTATTGTGCCTTCTAATTTACCTGAATCATCTCATACTGAAAAAGAATCGGATTTGTTAATTAAAGGAGAGGCTAACACGATTGGTGCTGCAAATAACAATAATAAAAATGATGATATAATATTTAAGAAACTTAACACAAATAATGGATTTAGCGAATTAGCAGAAAAGAATAGTATAGAAAGTGATACTAGTACGAAAATAGCTTCCACAAAAACCAATGGAATTATTATAAAAGATAACGTTGAAAATAATAGTCAAAATGGAGATGATGATAAAAAATCACACAATTCTATTGAGATAGTTAGAATATCTACAGAAAAATCACGTAATAGTTCAGAGAAATATCACCACGGACAAGAATCAGTTTCAATATCACTGAGTGAACAAAATGAAGGGAGCGTGAGTGTTAAAGATAATCATGTTTCTTCTGCAACTAGTGATACTTTAATAAATTCAGCTTATAATTCAAGTAATAATAATATGTTAATTAAACCACAAAGAGTATCATCAATTCAAGGAACTGAGGATAATAATAATGATTATGATAATAATTTAAGTTCAAGTAAAAAACCACATATAAAATTTAAAAAAGGAAATAATAAATTGACAATAATTCCTCCAGAAAATAGAAATAATCTCCTTGACAAACCAATGACAGCTTCACCTATTGAAAATTTACGAAGCGGACATGCTCAACGTTTACCTTCAGCAGGAAATTTAAGATCTTATCATCCAGCACATTTTACACATGACCCAAATTTTAAAGTAATTCAAGACGAAACATCAACATATCAAACTTATACACATCCAAATCTCATTAAAGCATTAAATCGTAAACTTTGGTTACCGCGTAATCCTCTAAAGAAAATTTGCGTAGAAGATAATGTCGAATTAAGTAAAGCATTGACATCTAGTGAGGGAGGAAATGGATATGTTGGATATTGGGGCGGTAATTCGCAATATTTGGGTGAAGCAAAAGTTAGCGCTTATGGAAATCATGAATTTCCTTCAAAATTATTTATACACGTACGAGAGCCAACGAATGAAGGAAGAGGAGTTGGAGAGGAAGGAGAAGGAGAAAACAAACCCTCGCAACATGAGGAATCAGAAATTTCATTTAATCCACTTTCACCTGAAGATGATCGTTTAAATGAATTTACGGCACCTGATGAATTATCAAGTGGAGAAGAATATTAATTATCTTTATTTATAGAATTATTTATATATAGTATTATTATTTATTATTATTCAGATGACAAAAGACAATGGAAAATAAGAAAAAATTAATATTTAATTTATTTAATTTTTTACTACTACTATTATTATTATTTATTGAAAAAAAAAACTTTGATTTTTTTGATTGTAATATAGTAAATTTTTTATTTATAATTAGATATTGGACTTTACTAATTTTTTTTTTTCGTTCTTTGTAGTATAATAAAAAAATTTCGATTTTAAACCGAAAATTCGATTTTTTTTTTGTTTATTGATGGTAAGCGCAATAGCAGTAACACATGAAAAATTTAAGCTATCCAAATTAATCTATCCAAAAATATTATGTGGCTACGCTATATATTTAAATTAAGAAATAATGATTTCCAAACGTGAGTGCATGAAAGGCTATTCCATTCCTGACAAAATTAAGGTCTTGGCATCCCATGTATTTCAATATTTTTGAATTATTGTGTAATTAATATTATTAAAATAATTGAAATAATATACTCAAAATGTCGCGTAACATTAGTGAAGTGAACATAAAAATGTCTCATTAAATTATTTAATAAAGCTGTACATTTTGTTATATTGATCAAATTTCTGCGGGTAAAATCAATCACATATCCCTATTTCCCTAGAATATACTATTTATAATTCGAATAATAAAAAATGCAACAATGTATGTGCGTATGATGCACCACTCTAAGTCGTATCTTTGAATCCTGCGGATGAGGAACAAGATCAGTGGAATAAGATGTTAAAAAAAAAAAGAAACGAGCCAATGAGTTTTGGTTTATTTATATATATATAAATTGTTTATTTATAACTTTTGCGTTTGTTGTGTAATTTTTCCAATTTGATCAGTTTCTAACAAACCTGCAAAACAATTACTAAATTTATGTATTTATTTTTTCCAATTATGTATCGTGAGACATGGCTTGTAAGAATCGATCCTTTCCCGTGATGTAACAGTAATATGAAACGTACATCAAATTCTATTATTATTACAACGACAACAATAAAAAAAATTTCTTACAAGTAAAAAAATCTGGTAATATTATGATAGTTATACTGAATACTGTAGTGATTAAATAATACATGAATAAATAACGCATAAATGAAAATGATTATATATACTAGTCTTTTCCCACATCAAAAAATGAACTTTTTTTTTTTTTTTTTGGTTGTAAATAAAATAAATTGTAAATAAAATTGTAAATAAAATTGTAAAAAAATCATTGGTATTTATTGGTGAGACTTGCGAGAAAATTATTGGATGANAATATTGATACATAAAAAAAAAAAAAAAAATGAAGAAATACGATTTGGATGAACTTTTTGCGTAAGTAATTCAATTCTAATTTCTTTTTAATAATAATAATTAATACTAATATTAATTTTCTATCTTATTTTTTTTTAGGTACGAGACTTTTAAGATTGTCAAAGTTAAAGAGTATGTACAAAATAATAAATAATCAATCTTTTTTTTTAAATTATTTATGATTAAATTTTGGTCTTTAAAATTATTAGTCGAAGATTAGGTATTCTTTATCGAGTATTTCAAGTTGCTATTTTAGCATATATATTATTTACTATCTTCAATGATGAATCATATTTGAAAAAGGTACGTATCTCGCGAAATTTCAACCCATAATAACACTCATTATTAATCATTTTACGTATTTTGAATATAGGAACCTCCGATTCCTGGTGCAATAAGAATAACTTTACAAGCACCAAATACATTTACGAATCAACCATATTGTACAGGGGGTGATTTACCTTGTGTATATTGGGGAGCCAATGAAATACAATATCCGAGTGACGGAGCAGGTTTCGCTTTTTTTACTACAAGGGCAACAGTGACAAGCTATCCACCAGGAACATGTAATTTTCTTACAGCATCATCACCAAACGATCCTTGTGTTTTTAATCCTATTACCAATCCCAGTAATGTTATAGTTCCTAAATCTTATATTGGTGATATTGAAAGTCATACCGTAAGTATAAGATAAACTTAATGTGAAAAAATAAATATTGTCAATCTTGATAATAAATAGCTTAAATATGTTAGGTTATGATTGAACATTCCATTAGAGGAAAGGTTAATTCTATTTCGCTTCGTAATGGAGTTATGGATGGTGTACTTAAAGATAGTAATGGTAATACCATTAAAAGAATCAGTAACGCTACAAGAGTAAGGAAAATATATTTTTTTTCCATCCTCTGTAATGTGCCACATTTTATAATTGACTTATATTTCTTTTTTACAGACTCTGACGGACCCGAAAGCCAACGGTGACATTTTCACCGTAAAAGAACTCTTAGACGCCGCAGGTTCGCTTAAATTGTGTTACTTGTATTATTATTATTAATTATTTTAAAGTTTCTATTAACTTTATTTTCTAAAATATATATCATATATGAAAGGCGTGGACTTAGATGGTAAATATCATTTGTTTAAATTCTTTAAAAAGTAAATACGTTTATTTATTTGTTATTTGTTTATTTATTTAAGGCCCCTCATTTGCTCCTGGTGCGGCCCCGGGTGAAATAAATAGATCTTCTGGTATCGTCATCGTAATTGCGATAGATTATGCAAATGTTAAATTAAAGGTATACTTATTTGTTTATTTTTTATTTTATGATTTATGACTTATAATTAACGATATATATATATATATTATCAATAGTTGGATGAAATTAAATATACATATAGACCACAACTTATTAATGGAGCTGAATATAAAGCAACTGAAAATATTTATAATCCCGATGGTTCTTACACAATCAAAGATCGTCATGGGTAAATATTTGAACGTAAAAAATTATTTTTGGCAGCCCAATATATTTATTTTTAAGTTTTTTCTTCCCTTTTTTTTTAGAATTCGTTTCGTATTTCAACAAATTGGACAAATCGGTTCGTTTAATGCTGTCTCTCTGTTAACGAATTTAGTAGCAGCTCTTGCTTTATTCGTAAGTTTGCTTATATTTCCTTCTTTGCATATGATTCAAATCAAATAATAATTTTGTTTTTTTGATAAACAGAAAGTTGCAACGACTCTTGTAGAATTATTAATGTTGCATGTTTTACCTCAAAAGGAACATTATGGAACCTTTAAATACGAAGAAACTCACGATTTTGGTGATTTTCGTAAGGGTATTTTATCAAGGGAAAAGGAAAATAATGGCGAAGTTTCCGCTCAACCTTAAAAAAATACATAAAAGCCTTATTAGTAAAAAAATTTCGTTTCTGTTAAAATTTTTATTTAATTAATTTAATATTTAAAATAGATTTAGTAATTTTAAAAAAATTGATTTTAGCAACCCTGCAATATCTGTATTAAGAAAAGATATTTAATAAAAAAATAAATTTACTTGAATGAATTTTGTTATTTTAATACATATATATAAATATAAATAACAAAAATGTAAATACAAAGAAAAAAAAAAAAAAATATTACATAAAAATGAATTTGATTTACAAAAATAAAAGTTTGTTGAATATATGAAAAAATACAAAATATGTTATGATTTATAAAAATTCCTAATTATAGATGATGAATAATAATAATAAATAATAATGATTTTTTTTTAAAACTTCTACAATAACTTCTCCTTCAAAAAATAACCAAAAAAAAGTATATACAAACAAAAATAAAATTACACATCTTTATACTTCACGTCATTATCAATCAACTCATTCCATTAAATTTTAAAATTTGATCACGAACTTTATTTTTACCAACCAAATTTTCTATATCCTTTTCATCATGAATAGTCGTGTCATCATCAACAACGACATTTGATGGTTCAGTTGTATTAATATTTGATAAAAATATTTTTTTCCATTTTTCTGTTTCTTCTAAGCTTGGTCTCTTTCTTACCCACGCAGCTGTTGCTCTACTTTTATCGCCTCCAACTCCATTATGATGTAACACCCAATTTGGTCTTGGAGATAAGTTTAATACTCCCGAGTTTTTTATCCCATGGTTATCCAGGTAATCGAATGTCATAAAAGATGAATTATCACTTGTTTTCTTTTCTAGTTCTTCTTCTGATGAATCAGATGAGTATTCAATAGCTGTAAAAGGTACATCTCTTAAACCCGTAGACCTAGAGCGCATACGAAAAGAAGGTTTTGATGATGAGGACGAAGATGATGTTTTCGCTGTGTCAATTATATTTACTGTTCGTTGACGTTTATCGTGATTAGTTGACGGAAGATCGATGGAAGATAAAAATTCATCACTATTAAAAGGATTATTCGTATCTTTACTATTATAATTAGTTAATGGTGGTGTTGGAGGCGATGTTATAGATGATGATGATGAAAGAGTCGGTGAAATAGTTGCAATTGTAGAATTGTTTGTCGTGTGATTTTTTACAGAATCGTTTTGATTTTCAGTGTCCCTATTTACATATAAACCAATAATAGATGATGATGATGATGAAGGATATGAATGATTTGAAGAACGATTATTAACATGTTCTGCATCAAGACTTAATAAATCGTCAAAACTTCTTGAAAATTCGCCTGATATATTTGTCTTGTGATATACTTCTGGTGCTAGCCTTTCTTTAGCTTCTTGCTCCTTTTTTTCTTCTTCAAGCATTTCATCTTCGGTTTTACATCCAATCTCAAAAACTACGTCAATATGTTCTACCAAAGTTTTAAATAAGATTGAACCTATTCCTAAACTAGGACAAAAAACTACTCCAAGGTTACTAATATTCATTTTGTTTATTTCACTTTTTCTATTTACAAGAGAAAGATGCGAACAAAGAGCTCGCAAAAGATAAAAATTTTGAGGGGGTAAACGTGAAACAATACTAGAAAGAGCCTTTGGCAACTTGTCTGGAACTACTGTTGGTGCTGATATAGTAGGAGTTGGAGTTGTTGTAGGTTGTGCGACTACAGCTGAATTTGTATGGTTTGCTACACATGTATTGAATTCTGGTAATAAAACATCCGTTAATATAGGTTCAGGTACTACAAATTAGAGGACATTAATTTAGAATATTACTTATAATATCATTATTAGAACATTATTTACTACGTACACTCTCTTATATACATCTTTAAAAGTGTTGCTACCACATGTGGATCTTTGGCCGAACTTTGTAAAAAATTCAAATCCGCGCCTAATTACAAACAAAATAGATGATATTATTTACAATTACAATTACAACATAAATTAATAAATAATTAAATTGCATACCGGAATCAAAGATATTTTTCATCCGCGCAACTGTCAACGTACTTCCTGGTATTCTATTAACATTATAAATTAATAAATGTAATTACACATGATTCAGAAATAGAAAATTTAAAGCATACCGATATAAACCAATTTCCTCCAAACCTAAAAAATGAAATATAACAGAATAAGTTAATATTTAAATTATCCAAATATACCACATACTTCCATGGAATTATATTTGCTTACCATAAATATCTAAAAATTCGATACATCTCACCATTACTGCCGGTAACCAGTACCTGGATGGATCATTTTCAATATCTTTTTCTATGCGTGTTAGTCTAACAGCTGTGATAAGAGGCGCTCCAAAAATATTTATGCCAGCAACATTTTTGGAATTTGAATTAGATAACCCGTTAGAAGAAGGTTCTAAATGAAATCAAAAAAGGCTATTTAATGAAAATAATTATATGATAAATGATGAATAATTATTAATTCAACAGACCTTCTTTCTTTTTTTTCAAGCGCTCAACAACTGCTTCCTTAGCTAAACATCCTAATTCTACAGTTTCGTTACCCATTTCTTGAACAGTAGCGGTAAATTCTGCTATTTTCTGTGTGATGTTTATATCTTTTAATCGAGAAGTTTGCTCACGGAAACGTTGGAAACTTGGAAATGTTGGGGACTGCAGATTTGTGGAAGAAGAGGTTGACGCTTGTTCTTGTGTTGAATTTGGATCATTGTTAACATTTTGATTCGTATTTGAGGCACTATTTGCAGTAGTAGAAACACGCCTAAGACGGCGGATGCTTCCTCGAACAGAGTTAAAGCCATTTCCTAAAGTGTTAGTTGAGTTTGCAGGTGATTCAGAGGATGGCTTTGTTCTAAAAGATAGTCTCCGTCGAAATGGCTTCGGTGGCGGGACTTTAATATTGTTAGTCTCACTGGAAGACATTAAATCAGTGTTATAAGGTCAAGTCCAAAATCAATTTCTCCATGAGGCTAACAAGTTATATCAAATCTCATTATAGTCATTACAAAGGATTACAGATCAGTGTTACTTCTAAACTTGATAAAGAAATACCAGTTAAATCCGATCACGTGGATAACTATTATTCATGGTGGACAATACGATCCTCTTCTATTTATGCAATTTGTCTAATTGTATTTTTATTAATTTATTGATTCAACAATGCTTAAAGTTTATTTAAACACAATATACTAGAATGATCATAATCATTAATTTAAATTTAATTCTTTAATCTTCAGGATTATTATTTCGAAGTGAATTATAATGAGAGCCTAACCCATACATATATTGATGGAATCTAAAAAGAGATCAAAATCAAGGATACCAATTCAAACAAATATTCAAGAATTTAATAAAAATGTGAAAATAAATAAGGATACGATATTATTATTGGTTTTGTATTTGGGAATATGTCATCAAAAATCTTTAATAATGGCGAATTCATTTGGACTACATGAACCGGTAATTTCAAAGACTTCGAAATTGCATGAATCTATATTGAAAATTAGGTATTTAATGGAAGATTGATAAAATCCATGGTGAAAAAAAACTACCTACTTCTAACTGTCCACCCCATACTGCCGTATTCTCCAGATCATCACAATATTTGCTAAATTGTTCTAATAAAGAGAAAAAAAACATAATGAACAGTAAGATACGAAAAATCGTAATTAAGAAAATCAAATATAGGTTGTTGACGGACCTGCACTAAACAATACTCCGTCTTGAGTAGTCGGTAAAAATGGAATAAATTCATCAGAATGTTCGCGCATATATGCTGCAGCTTTACGCCTTAGCTCCTTATAATCAGTCTATCTTAATTAAAATTAGAAATTATGATTAAATATATTTATACACAAATGGTAAATGTTCTTTCTACACACCGCAATATTATGTCCAATTTGCAATTGATCCGATATGGCATTATAGAGGCTGCATCAAATTTGATAAGATTAAGATTAAAAAATTTAATTAAATATTGTAAAAGATTCAGAAACATACCAATGTCCGTCAGGCGCAATCTAAAATCGAGAAATAAAGTTACCAGTTTCTCATTCAATAAGAAATTAAGAAATAAATCTTCAAATAAGATATTACCTCCTTAATAGATAATCCCATTGTAATAATCTTTTCGGTAATTTTTTTGTCTTCAATTTCCTTCATATTGACCTGATTATTAGCTTCATTTTCGGCTTCAAGTTGCGATTCGGCCATTATAGCTGCTTTGCGTGCCTTAGAAAAATAAATCTCAGCTTCTGGAAACAAAATCTACCGACTATACAATTATATTACATAAGTCACCTGTCTAATTTTATGTCGATTTGGTTTTTTGCTTTTCGGAACTTCTATATTTGTGGTCTTTGAAGCTTTCAAGGCAGCCTTTTCTTCTTCCTCAACGCGTTTTGCTTCCATCCTAGCTAATAACTTATCAGTAATGTCTACATCTTCATCACTACTATCCTCATTCTTGTTATTCTGTATATGACAAACATAAAAAGAAGTAAACCTAACGCATCAATTTGAGTTGTAAACAATCATATAAATACTAATAGTTGTCGAGTTCTCGATACTGCTTTTATATAAACCTTAATTTCTTCCTTTAAAGTCTTCCCGGAAGATTCATTTTTACTTGGAGATTGTTGTTGTAACTGTCTTACTTCTTCTTCCTGCCTCTTACGAAATTCTGTTTCCAATTTTGCTATGTCATTTTGAACCTCTTTTTTACGTTTTTTGTCGCCTTTTGTTGCTGTTTTTTTTAGCGCAGTGATTTTAGCAGTAAGTTCCTTTAGTTCTTTTTTATGTCGTAAGGTTAACTCCTCGAAAGTTTCAGCAATCGAAGCATTATCTGGCTTGTAAGTTTCGATTTCTTCAGTAGTCATTATAACTTCATAATTACTTGGTTTATAATCTGTAAACTATAAAGTATCGTGTGATGAATTATGTTCACATGACCTCAAATAATTTGTCACCCCTCATTTTTAATGCCTGCCAAAATTACATGGAAGTGGAAAAATGACGATACTTATAACTTTTTAACTTTTTAATATTTGTTGACAAAAAATATTTCAAGATAAAATATAATTGGTAAATGGTAATTCTGGTTCTATAGCAATCCTATATGATTAGCTAATAAAATTGGAATATGTAATATGTATTTTTTATAGAATTTAATGAGTTATATTATTTTAATTTCAATATTTTTCTGGGTCTTATACAAAAAATCTGGTTCAAAAATTGAATAAATACCAGGGTATTTTGTGAAATACTGGGTATTATAATATATAAGAAATATAAAATATAATTTTTATCAAAATTAAACCTAAGGGGAATCAACTACATTTCTCACCTGACTATTTTCCCAGCTGAAGGAGAAGCTCAAACTTTTCTTACCTGAGTGACTGTAAGATGCTTTTTATTGTTTAAAGACTTCAGGGGATTTTTTAAAACTTGTCCAGATCTTAAACTTTTAGTTATTTAACTGGAGCAGTTCTTACCAAAAATAAATTACTTCTGTGAAACTTTTTTTCCATCAGAATTATCACAGTTACTCTTAAATAATGCTTATAAATTTTCATCTCAAAACATGCTAACTTTTTATACAATAATTTTTAAATGAGTACATTCATTAGTAGATGAGGTCCAAAGATAAAAAGTATTGATATTGATTATTTGTATATCATTTTGCTGATAAGTGGAGGAACTCTATAGTAGAATTATAGGAAATTTAATTATTAATTTTATTTTAGATTTTTGATGTTTTTATAATGATAATAAGAGTCATATCAGGGTTAGTTTTGTAATTTGTTAAGCTTAGATTGCAAAGCCTAAAGGGTTATCAGAATTAATAGAATTAAGTTTAGAATACATTTAAGGGTAAAATTTTTATATCTAGTAAATACCTAAATCTTATAAAGTAAAAGTATATTTAAAAGAAAATATTATATGCAGTATTAAATGGTATTAAATAAAAAACCATTTAAAATACAAAGTTTAAAACTTTATTAATACATAATAATTTAAAAAACTTTTTTAATTATTTAATATATTACTAGATAATGGAATCTATTGTAATATCTGAAGCACTCGTTTAAAATCATGTGTCAGGCATGTCACTAAAAATCTGATCACGTGATAATAATCAATAATAAGATTAATCACGTATGCGGACAGATATACTTTGCATTACAATGTGTCTAATCATTAATGTCTTCCACTATACTTCAGACAAAAAATAATGATATTAAATTAAATATTTTGATATGATTTAATAATTGGATTAAAGTTTCAAATAGATAAGATCAGGTTAAAGTTACTTATCAAAATTAGTGAATTTTATCATGTTAAAATTGTTAAAATTATTTTTTTATTTTATTATTTCAATTTTAATAATAAATAATAAAGTTTGCTATTTACCACCACTGGTGGTTAGCACCAGTATCACGTGATTATAATTAATTAATGAAACTTATTTATTTTATTTGTGTAATTTTTTTATACGACCGACTAAAAAATAAAAAATTGCGTACACCTTTAATTTTTAAGAACACCACAGTCAAATAAATAATAATGGCAAAAAGAGTATAAGGAATAAGAAAGAACAAAAATAGTAATAAGAAACAATATAGGATGAAATGATAATGGAAAAAGAACAATAGGAGACGAAATAACAATGAAAAGAAAAGTATAGAATGAAATGATGAAGAAAAAGCAATATAGAATGAAGTAATGATAGAGAAAAAATGATATAGGACATGATGGTGATGAAAGAAAATTATAAAGTGATATAGAACGAAATGGTGATGAAAGGAATGGTATGAGGACGAAATTATAATGATGAAGTGATATAAACCGAAATGGTAATGGAAAAGAATAATAGGAGATGATTCAGACGAAATAGCAATGAAAAGAACAGTATATATGGGATGAAATGATGATGAAAAGCAATATAAAATGAAATGATGATAGAAAAATAGGAGACAAAAGGTGATTAAAGGAATGGTATGGGTTGAAATGATGATGAAAACGTGATATAGAACGAAATGGGAATAGAAAAAAATGATAAAGACGAAATGGTGATGAAAGGAATGAAATGATACAGAACAAAATTGTAATGAAAAAATGATATAGAATGAAATAAAGATGAAAAAATAATGTGGAACGAAATGGAGATGGTAAAAGAATGATAGGAGACGAAATGGTAAAGAAAGAAACAATAGGCATAATAAGAAAGAAAAAAAACCATAAAGCCCAAAAAAGAAGTGAAAGTCTGACCAAAAAAAGTAAAATATATAGTTAGTTAAAGAAAATTAAGTCCCAATCCCAAAAGACCAAAATGAACTTACTATTTATAAGGATACTGGTGCCAAAGTTTTAAAGCCGTTAAAATGTGGAAAGAACTACTTACAAATAGTGACAAAGCTGTCTCTTATACACATCTAGATGTGTATAAGAGACAGTTTAAAGCCGTTAAAATGTGGAAAGAACTACTTACAAATAGTGACAAAGTGGTGAAGTGGAACAAAATGGAGGTAGAAGTGATGAAGTGGAATGAAATAAAGGTGGAAGAACGAAATGGAAGCAGAAGTGACAAAGTGAAACAAAAAGAAGAGAGAATAGTTAATATTAATAAAGGAAAAAAGACATACACAACGTTAAAAAATATGTATAACTTACTGAAAGCAAAGAAAGCAACTACAAAAAAAATAAAATCGCGTAAAAAAAACAAAAATAAACTAATAAATCTGATGAGTGACGCAATAACAAATAGAAACACGTGACACTGGTGCTGAACACCACTGGTGTTACGTAGTAATTTTATAAAATAATTCATCAAAATTATTTTTACTATTTTGGCAATAATTTTTAGCCTATAAATTAGATTTAAAATCACTAATGATTCAAATGGAATTGAAAATAATGCATGAGGTTTATTAGGAGTTGGTAAATAATTTTCTTTATATTTTTCATATTTTTTATATAAAATTCCCTCTTCTTCTACTTTATTATTTATAGACTTAATTCTGAGATTTAGTATTATTAATAATATATAATTTTTAAATAAAATATTTCAATAAAAATATATACTATTATAAGATTTTTTTTTACTTAATTTAAAAGATCTTTAGATTCTAATAGTTTAGTCAAATTAATTTTATCTTCTTTTACCTGATTATTATTATTTATAATATCATTTTCTAAAATTTTCACTTTCCTTATTAAAACAAAAATGTTAGCTGTATTTTCAATTTTCTGATATATTTTTAATGTATTAAAAGCTGTTATAGGTAATATAGATGATATAAATAATATAGTTGTAAATGAATTAGATAAATTAAATAATGGTAAAAATAATAAAGTTTTAATTTGTTCAATTATTGGATTTATAATGCTATATATAATATTTTTCTCCACCAAGATAATTAGTTGCTTCTTCAAATGTTATAACCAATTGTTATAAAAATTCCCATTTATCAGAACTTAACATAATTTTATCAAGTTATTTTCCATGCATCAATATTACTTTTATTATTTACTAATTTTACAGTTTGCATTTAAATATAACTTTTAATTTTAATTAATCTATTTCATCAAAGCATAATATGTTAAATTCCATTTAATGAATATATCTATGAATACTTGAAGGAAATATTTACTAGTTTTACCAGCATTCTAATTATTATAAAAATTATTATATAAATAAAAATAATTTAAATAATTAATAAACATAAATTATAAAATTAAAATCCTTATTACATTAACTTGATTTTATGAATTTTTTTGAATTTTCTCTAATCTTTGACTTTATTTTAGTCTTAAAAAAATCAATCAGTTTTTTTACCTTTAAAACTAATAATTTAACTGAATTTAAACTTTTTTCCATCACTAATTGTAAAGTATATGTAGTACATGGCTGCCATTTTATATTAGAAGTAATATTATTCATTTCTTTTATGGCTTTTTTCATATTCATCCTATTATTAGTTACTATTACATATGTTTTATCTCTTAAATTCCATTCATCTAGAATTACAAATAATGCATCAGATATATTTTGTGTGATATGAAGATATCTAATATATTCAATTGTAAGAATAACTTCATGAATAGTAAAATTTTTATTTAAAAAAGAACAGGTTCCACCTAAAAATCCCTGTCTATTTCTACCAGTCCACATATCAGTAGTCAAATTAATCGAAATTGCATTATTTTTGACAAATTTTTGAATTAAAGGAAATGTACAATTATAGGCACTTTGGATGGTTTGTTTAATTAATTTAACATTTGGAATGTTAAATGCTGAGTCAAGTTCTTTATAAATCTTTGAAAAGATTTTGAATGTGTAATATTTAAAAGTTGAGTATCAAAAATTATCCAACTAATTAATAGATTACATCATCAGAGATAGAAGGTCAGGATTTGTTAGATGATCTTACCTGAGGTGTAGATAATATACAGTATTTACTTCTATATCAGGTAATTTTTCTCCAAAGAATCCTCAAGTAATACACTTACTTTAATTTCTTCTTCACATGGTGAAGACCGGCACTTAATGTAGTAAGAACCCTTTATGCATTGGCCAACTACCTTTCCTTCATTGTGCTTTTTTTCACATCTAGAACATAAGTCCGAATTTTTAAATTCATATGCATCATTATGTTTGTCACTATTATATAAGGATAGGTGGGAATATTCTTTCAAAGCCACATTGATAAAGGGAGCACGAGCACCATATTGGGTGACTGGCGAATTGACCGGGCCTGAAGAATCCAAGCATTGTGCCTCCAATACATTAGCCTGATTGGTTTTCGAAGCTTGAGATGTAGGTGGAGTATTTACCCTGGCATCTGGTAAATTTTTTGGGACAGACCCTTGACTTTTCTCTAGGTCTCACTTTTCTATATTTTTGCATCCAGAATATCCAGAATATGAATTAGTTCCATATTAGCATAGACAAATCCACTGAAATAATCCAGAATAATTTGGATTTGAAGTTTAGTAAACTTTGGAATAGAATCCGCGCTATAAAACTTGATATTCTTAATTCTATCTTCCTATCTTTTTGAATAGTTTGTAGATCTTTATGGCCCTTTGGGCTCTTTTACGTAACGTTTCCAATGTTATTCCAGAAAGATGCTTTATTATATCCTGGAATAATTGTTTTCTTGCATCTGATCTGAAACATTATCTCTGGCAATAATTTCTTGAACGCTCCCTTCGAACTTTTTCCCATATGAGTGGCGGCATGAAATCTCTTTTTGTTTAGCTTGCGTAGTGTTCTACCCTTCAATACTTACTTCTAGAAATAGATGAGCAAGCTCAACTTCTATTGTCATGTCTGTTGTAAGCTCCTGTTTTCCGTCAATAACTTGGATATCATCTTCATCTAGCAATTCCAAAGACACTTTTTGTATAAAGTCTTGGGCTACTAGATAATCGCGGAAAACTTTTTTTTCTTTGGGTATAGAGGAAGTATTTTGAGAAATTGAATGCTCGTCCTGATCTTGGCATGAGAGTGCTGACTCACGCAAAAGCTTCTTCTCCTTGTTTCTTTGTCTCATCATATCACTAACCTTTTTCTTACTCACCAAGACTAAGAATTATCAGTCTTCTTATCCTCTAACGATTTATTAGATGTACTAGGCTGTGTTGCAACGTCAACAACAACTCGCTCCTGCTTGATTTTCCCGACATCACAATTGAGTTCTGCAATGAGTTTAGCCTTTTTTTATCACTCTGCCCTAATTTTGCAAGTCTGGTCTCATTCTCTTCCATAGCCTGTCTTAGCTTAGCATTTTCAATTTTAACCTTGGCATTTTCAGCCTTAATCTCGTCATTCTCGGCCAGGAGTTCGACGATGATGTTATTTCAATGAATCAAGTCCGGATTGCATATTCGATAACAACTTTTATATAGAACGTGATTTATTTAAAATGCATTTTACCCAAGCGGGACTTTAGGTCTCAATTTTTTTATTCACCATACGTATACTTGATACAATGTTCGGCTTGATTTCTTTATTGGTGCAGTAAATAAATTACATGATTCTGATTCTGCTTGTAACTGTGATACATAAAATTACAAACAAAATGGTTTTTCTACATTAATTCTAAACTACCTGTACTAACATATTTATCTATAATCCAGCTTCACTCGTCCCAATCATAGTTATTCTGGATAAAATAACTTGGTTGTCAATTATACTTATAAGACATGCATTTTCAGAAATAAATGAACGACATTGATCTTGGTAAAACTTACCGAATTTTAAGTTGTTTGCATTCAGTAATGCTAGTAAGATCTACAAAAAAAATGGACATTAATTTGCAAACTTCGAAATCGTTTTCTTGTAAATGCTCCGAAAAAAAATATATACTTCATTCATACCTGAATCGCGTAATATCTCAATATTTCTTCGCCAACGCTTCTTTCATTCTTTCAAACTGCAGTACGCCGGTTTCTTTTAACCGAATTCATAACATTTAGGCTCAATACAGAAAAAAAGTAGGGTTACTGCGCTTTATTTTTTTTAAAATTTCATGCACATTTAAAAAATTGTGTACACCAAAAAAATCATGTGCACACGTTGCACGTTGTGCACTGTCAAATACGGTAGGACCCAGAAATATATATAAAAGGGTCAGCGTATTTTGAACTAAAAAAAATCGTGAAAATCTTTCCATTTTTAGATAATTTTTTATAATTCCAGTCAGAATATTGACATTATCATAATTCCGGCCCTGAAAATGCTTACAGCTCATAGTAAAAAATTATTTTCATCACCTGACCCCTATATATTAACGTACAGTAGGGGTGTACAATATTAACGTACAAACTGGCCCAAGTTTAGGAGTTATGCACTTGCACGTGATAGCGTTAACGTTAACTCCAGCCAGTTCGTACATTAATATCGTACACCCCCACTGTACATTAAGGAATCCCATATATATTTCTGGGTCCTAATACGGTCAATCGTACGACTAATATTTTAATTACTTCAGGAGTCATTCCTTAAATTGTTTCAGTCTTATTATTAGTCACAATGTACCCAGAAAAGTATATAAGTACACCCTCAAAACTCTCTCAACATAATTCAAACCATTGAATTCTTTACTAATAATGTCTTCCTTTTTTCATTTTGTTAACCGTCAAGTACAAGACAAAAAGAATATATTTAGATTTTTATTTATACTCTTGATGTTACATCTTTGTTTTTAATTTTACTTCTTTTCAGTACCAATCTCGCAAATGCAATTTCCTATCAATTGCTCGCACTCGGTTACTTCCCCCACGCCTCTTCCGATTATGATTATTTCTCCCCCTTACACATTATAGTATGAGCATATTTGTTGTTTTTGATTATTGCCCGATTAAATTTCTAATCACATTCTCACTATTTTTAGAGTTACATTTTTGGTTCCGTTTGGATTATAGATTTCTGAAAAACCTTCCAAATATAGTAGATTCAACAATTTCTCAAGATCAAATTATGTTCAGAGCATCAATTTGTACTGAAGCATCAAAAACTCTGCTGTATTTGTTTCTAGTGAAGGAGTTGTCTCAAAAATAATGATGTGTAAGTATTCTATTTTCCTTCTTGAGGGAAATATCTGACTTACAGATCGTGATTCTTATTTTAGCTCGAGGTGCCTGGTCCCGAGCAATAGCGCCACCAATGGAAATCAGTGACATCAGTGAAGAAGAATCAATGAATTACCTGATTGAGAAACGTAAGATTGATAAAGAAACAGCAAAAGAATTATATCAATTGGTTAGTGGTCGCATTTTAGAGTTGAAAACTGTTGCGAATGGTATTTAGCCGGACGATCCATTGAAGGTAGGAATTAGTTTTATTATTTTGCAATCAATTTTACACAATTCTGCTTTGCTTAATTCTTTTTCATAGTTATCAAGAAACAAAAATTAATTGAAATTGAGCAGAAATTTTCTTCAGCGAAATTTCTTAAAAGACAAAAATACCATGAAATAGGAAAGCGTGCAATTAATGCTTTACTGGATTCCAAAGAAATTAATATTAATATATTTATAGATTTCTTTGAGAATAATGATGAGGAATGTGAGGAATACCAAGAAGTTTTAGGAGCTAACGTGTTTGCCTACCATCTATCAAGCAATACTGTGACTTTTCAGTCGCGATCAGTAGAATTTTACATTCGGGAAAACTCTAATTTACTTGGTCTTGGTGATAATTCCAATTCTAATCGAACGTTAACCTCCGAATAGAATTCAAAAATTAAAATGTGAATTATAATCAAACAATCATCCCAAAATAAGAAAACTATACAATTAATAATATTATAATAATAAAGCTTTTTTTACAGGATAAATTTGGTGTTTTTTTTTCGACAAAATAAATGTTTGTTTATTCCAATGTATAAAAACTAAAGCACAAATTAAGGGAAAATAGCGAAATATATGACATGCTTTCAAAGGAGGAAGTACGCAGATTCTAGACCATTTAATGCGAGGTAAAAAAAATAATCAATTCATGTGTTACCGATGTTACCGATACACTGCGCCAGGTTTCGTGACGCCAATGAGGCACGTGCTGGCGATCACGATTTTCTCATGTTAAAAAAGATCGAGCATCTATAGAGCCAAAAATCGATTAACATTGTAGCTGAGCAATACTCAACATACCTTATATTAATTTGCGAGTTCGATTTTGGGATTCGCTTTTGGGGGGAAATTACGTTAATATGATCACATCACGAAACGAATCCGCTTAAAATCATAATAAAAACATTGATGCTACCCATATACAAGGATCAACAAGGAGGTCTTCTTTGTTATAAAACTTTGAGTACATGCGGGAAAGTTCGAGAATAAATTACTTGTTCCCGGGAGACATGATGTCTAACATTACTGCGCATTTATTTATCAAGTTCAGATTGCATATTCGATTATAACTTACATATAGGACGCGATGTATTTTATCCAAGTGGGACTTTAGGTCTCTCTTTTTTTTATTCACCATACATCTCTATTCCACGCTTGATACAATGTATAGCCTTTTCGCCAAATTCTTTATTGACACCTACCCTTTCCTCTTTTTCATAAAATGCGAATGTTATTAATGTCAATATTAATTATGGTGACGGTGATTCCAAAGGAATTGGTTTAGACGAGCAGAATTAGGCTATTTTTCATTAAATGTATTATTATTATTTTTCATGGACGCGGGCGAAATTTTAATAAATTTTCAGATAAATACCTTTCTAGCTAAGAAATATAAAAAATTTGCCCAAAGACGCTTCAAAGAGAAATGATAAAGATATTAAGCGAAACAATATGATGCTATCAACAGATCTGAGTCAATATAACGAGCCGAAGGCTCTTTGCATGACGTAATCATAAAAAATTCATCTCTCTGGCTCCTTGACAGTTTCCAGGCAGTTCTTCGACACTAGTTACCATAAATCACGAGATGATCATCCAATAATGTTCCGCCTTTCTTGATCTTGAATAGCTGCGTACATTATATATATATATATACCTGTCTCTTATACACATCTAGATGTGTATAAGAGACAGTATATATACTGTATATATTTTTTATCTAAATTAATAAACAAAAACATAATTTGTTTAACTTAAATTTTTATTATTGTCATATTATATATATATAAATTTTTTTAACTTGAAAAGTGGCCAAATAATTTTGATCGCTCTCTGTATATGCAATTCCATTAAAATCTATAACAAATCAGAAAATAAATATAAAGAGATTTAATGTTAAATATTTGACTATAGCCAGTTTGTAATTATTTATTATTACATTAATCTGTAAAAATAGATGCTTATAAAAGAATGTGATTATATAAAATATATCTGACTGTATACAATCTGATATCATGTAAGATTTTACTTTACTTCTTTACTTTCGAAATATCTATAATCTCTTTAAATTAGAAGTTAATTAAACTTAAATCAAAGATATAAATTACAATTGGAATTCAGTTAAAATAGTTTAAATATTAATAATTATTTCATATGGATTTCTATTTATATTAGCTTTTAAAATTGAATATCTTATTCACATTGTATTATATTAAAATTAATAAAAGCTAAAAATAAAAAAAAACCATTCATACATATGTAAAACCTAATTATGCAAAACTTTTAAACTATTGTATAACCTAAAACCTAATGACTTAATTATATGCAATGTGTGTGTAAGTTCTAACAGCTAACTTACTTGAAAAATAGTTCTTTTGAAAATACTTATAATAATATATAAGTATAAATGTTATTTAAAATAATTTGTTGAAAATATTTATTGTTTTGAGATGTGTTAAATGTTTAATATAAAATAGTAATGGTAAATGCAAAGATATATACAAAAAAAAAATTGTTAGATGTTACTATTTTATTCTGATACTAACTGCGAATTTTTAAATTCGAAGTTAATCGAATTGATTTTACTTCGCGGAAAACTTTTCAATCAAATTTCCTTCATTTCTTCAATACTTGGAATACTTCATAATCATCTACCTGGAAATAGTTAAATTTATCTCTAATGCTATGTTCATATTTCAACCCACCTGAAGCATAACTACTACTTCCTTCATGAGCATCATCGATGATTTTCAATTCATAGAAACCAAACGAAGGGCCCAGTTTATCCTGTAATTGTATAGCTTCATTAACGCAATCTTTTTTAATTCTCGATATTTTAGATTTAGGTGTCGATACGTTGTTGGAAGAATCGCTGTGTGAGTTCGACAAAGAAAATATGAAAGAGTCACGTGTACCGCGCCATTCAACATCTCTAGGTGAAGACCAACCGATTGGGTTATAACCACCTATTAATTCTTTTGTTCCGCTCACTCTAACCACCACTATTGTCGCACCTCGACCATCGCATTTGTCGTGAAATGTCTTTGCGCTAAATCCATCTCTACTTCCGCGGAAAAGCAATCTAAAAAAAGACGATGATTAAATTTTCATTTTTAAAAAATTTTTTTTTTTTTTTTTTTAAAAAAAAAAGCAATTTACCTGAAAATGTATGGAATTGATGTCAATGGAGTGAAATCTTTAACATTTTTTCTGTCTATCCAACAAGCGATGAGAGCAGCTTGCTGATGAGTGATAATTGTAGAATCAATTGTTCTCACAGGCGGTGAAAAAGGCGTAACAGATGGACTTACAGGCGGAGATACAGTAAGACTATTACTATAACTAGCACTCTTTTTTGTAATATTATGAAGCGATAAAATTAAATCATTAGATGATAGGATTGGAGACACTTCAGTGGGAGAAGTTCCAGGAGTCACTAAACCAGTATTAATATTCAAAGAAGCACTACCGCTATTACTATTTGTATTATTATTACTAGATTTAGTGGATGAGAAATGACGTAATAATTTGAGTTTAAGATTCCTTGGTAATATTTCAGCATAAGGTCTAACTTTGCTATTAAAGTCTTCCAAAGACAATTGCCAAAATCTAATTAATGGAATACAACGTTGTAATGTCTTTTCAAGAGAACAAAATTCTTCAATAGACCATTTAGAAGCATCCTTATTTTTTATACCATAAGTATTTTTTAAACCCCAGTTAATCAGATAATCCCAAATTTTCCCTTCATCCATACAAAAATCATCTCTTGATAGTAATGATACTAAAGTTGTTTCATCTAAACTCATAAATTCTTTTGAATCAAAGTATTTTTGTGGTTCAGGACATACTATTGATAAACAATGTGATCGTAATCTACTACATGCATTACGTTCTATCACTGTATTCAACACATAAAGTATATTATCTTGAATCCATTTCTGTTTATTTTGTAATAAGTATTCTTGAAGAGGATATATTAATTCTTCAAATATCAATTCGTCTGCTGCAATCAACAACTTCACAATATCTCCTTCTCCTAATTTTTCCAATCCTATTCTTCCACTATATATGTATCTATATAAACATACTTGATTAGTTTTGTTGTTTAGTGCCGCTAAGGGAATAATATTCTATTTTTCTCTTACCTTAATATGACTTCGAAGACAGTCGGACTAATATTTGGCTTTTCAAAAATAAATGTTTCTCCCTCCTTTCTTGCCCATTTACTTGACAAAGCTGTCCGAAAATATTCTGACCTAGCTCGTAAGATGAGTGAATGTGCTTGAAACTCTAGTTGTCGTATATATCTATTACAAGTATTTTTACCGCTATTACTACTATTATTATTGCTTCCACCGCCTACCCTAATAATAACATCATAATCCTCTGCATATTCGAGCAAACTACACAAATTTTCTGATAATCGCGGGAATAAATTCAAAGACATTTGAAAATTTTAGTTAAAGAGTGAATTTTTTTTTTGTTAAAAAAAGAAAAAGTGGACTCAACAATTTTATAGCGCAAAACTCGTGATTGGTGTATTAATTACTATAAAGTGGCTTAGTAATTGCGTAACGAAGTAGCAAAACCAATAATTCCTCAATTTCGGGTTTCCTTTTACGGCCGTAAAGTGTGAATTTTGGTGTGAATCATTATTTTTGATGCACCTCATGTGCGCGTTAAATATTTGGGCGTATTTACATCACAGAGACATTTATTGTCCAAACTTGTATACTAATAATTCCAAACGAAAGCTACTGATGCGCATTATGCATTATATGTTGAAAGTTATGCAATCATCTAGCTTTTTTTAACATTTTCAATTGTTGGTTCTTTTTGTCTTAAATAACGGATTGAATATAGTAAAATAAAACTGATCACCCAATTACCAATTACTATTCGATATGAGTGTTTACTGTGTTACTGTTTATATCCATTTATATCGTAAATAAAAATGGTAAAAAATTTGCGCACATTGTAACATTTTAGTAAAATTTTATGGTTAAATATACGAGAATACTATATATAGATGTCAATCTATAATGTATAAAATATAAACCTGCAGAAATAAAAAAAATTTAAAAAGCTAAGTTATTTATAAAAACTATATATCTATATTATAATTTCTTTTTATTATTAAGGCTTTTTCTTAAAATTCCTTTTTTTTAAAAAATTATTTCTTATTCTTCTAATTCAATTTTTGACTATTTACTTTTCTTCTTTTCCTTTACTTTTTTTTATTTTATGTATTTAAATATAATGTATAAATCATATATTAAATATCTTTTTATATAATTATCTTTCTTATTCTAAAATGAATAAGAAATTTCAAATTTATTTTCAACAAATTCTAATTAAAAAGTAATTCATTGTGAAATCTGACAAATAGCCAAATACACAATATAAACCATTATTTACAAAAATAAAAATATTATTTTTTAGCTATTTATTATTTTTTCTTAAAATTTTTTACATTTATAATGTTTTCACAATTTTAGTATTTACTAAACATATAAAAATTTGAAATAAAGTCAAATCTGTAACTGACTCAATATAAACTTTTTATTTACTATAATAAATATACAGCTTTTTTATTTTATTCTTTTTCCCAAATTTTTTTGCATATATATAATACAACTTATAAATAGATTTTTATAATTTAGTATTTATTTATTGCCAATAATTTGTATAACTATTATATAGAACATCATTTTTACAATTATAAATATATGATTTTTTAATTTATAAATATATAATTTTTTTAGTTTATTCTTTTTCTTGAATTTTACAAAATTTTATAATTATTGTATTTATATATTATAGCCAATTGGATGTAAAATATTCTTCTGGTTTTTTATATGAAAATTCTGCTATTCTTTAATAGATTAGCTCTTAAATAATTAAATAAATTATTATTTGAAAAACCTAATTGTTTATTATTAACAATAATAATAGTTTGATTTGAATATATAATTGGTTATAGTAATTAATCCAATCTAAAATTTAATAAATAAAAAATCAAAACAAAGTAAATTACCATAACCTGTAGAAGTATCCATTATTATATTATACATTTTAAATGCAAAACATCTTATTTTTCAACATAAAACTGATAAAAGTTTATTAAACAATCAAATAAATAATAATAAATAATAATAACAATAACTGATAATAATAGTAATATTATATTAACTAATATATAATATATAAATATATAAATATTTATTCCATTGTTTTGATAAATCAATACTATATAAATTTAATAATACCTTTATTATATTCGTAAAATTTGTATATATATACAAATATAAAATTAAACTATTAAATATACAAACTACAGTATATTGACGGTAAAAAACGAATATTTTAGCGTACATAAAATATAGTTTTTTCGTTTCTGTTTCATGTGATATACGTAATCTATTGTGATATCATGTCTAGGATGATTATATTTTTTTTGTTCCATAATATGTTTCATGTGAGAAGGCATTCTTTGCCGTAAAATACTCTTGCTTTTTTGGCAGAAATTGATTAGCAAAAAAACCCGTTAGTAACGATCGACGTTATACAACCATATCATGTGACAAACTTTAAATTGTTATAGATTCTGCACTGATTCTGCACTGTACAATTTACGATTTTACTTTTGGTTTTGGTCGTAAAGAAAAAGATAATGCCGAACCGAGTATCCGAAGAAGAACTTCCTATACTTGAATCAATTATTAATATTAGGAATCGTCTCCAGGCATTGAAAAAGGATCGTGACCATTATATTAAATCTTCGGCAGTTACTGAGATCTACGATGAGGTAATTATCGAATTTTAAGTGTACTTCAAAATTAGTAACAATAGGTAGAGTTAAAGCAGAGCTAGAGTGGTTTTTTATTTAGCATTAATATAAATTTATAATAACGTATTTTTTTGCTAGGTTACGGAACTAGTTAAAAAGTTAATTGAAATTCGTGACCAGTCTGCAGAAAGCCCAACATCAGATAATCGTGTTAACGCCGTTTTCGATGATGTATTTCAATTACTTTCGTTGTTCTTTATGGCAGTAGGTAAAAATAAAGAAAGTCCTGCTACCTATGCTCATCTTGCTACTCTTAAGGTATTTTAACATTTTTGATCGGTTATGAGATTTATAAGAACAATCATCAATAAACCTATTTTCCACAGCAATGTTTAGATCATTTAAACGAGTCGGGTGTTTATACAATAGGTAAGTCACCTTGTTATATCTTTTATTTTATATGACAAAATTTTTATTTTATTGATATACGTCAATTTTAGACGAGCTTACACCACATAAAAATCGATTAATGGATATGAAAAGGATCATAAATAATGACGAAGAAAACAAGGCAATAGCGGAACCACATTTGAAATTACTGAATAAAAAATTAATATCTTGCGGTATTTTATATTCTAACATTACTCTTTAATCTCTTATTCACTATCCTAACATGTTCAATAAACTTCTAGAGAAAGTTTTGAATCAACTATTGGACTCCGGTTTAAACCTTAGTGATGATTTAGCACCAATACATCATCGCTTAGTACAAATAAAAAGAGAATTAGGTGCGATAGGAGCGCGTACTGATCCAGACAAAATTTCAGATATTCGACCTTATCAGGATGAATTGCGCAGTATTGATAGTAAAAGAGTCGATGGAAAATTTATGGCACCAGATGGTTCTATACCACCAGGTCAAGCTCAAGTTATTGGATTATTAGAAGAATGTTATGAAGATGCTCATGAAATAATTGCTAGTCAAAATAATGTTTCAGAAACTTTAAAACCTATTTATGATAGATTGATTGAGCTAAAGGCATCACTTGAACGGTTGGCATTAACGCATCGATGGACTTCACGTGAAACTGATTTATGGACTTATCAACTTCAATTAAGTGAAATTGATAATATGAGGAAAGATGGTAAATTCTATGATGATGAAGGAAATGTCCCCGAAGGGCAGACAGTACGTTTCTTGAAATCGTTTGATTTGTTTGATCGATTCATTTTTAGTATTATAAAGCTAAATAAACATTTTTTATTAAATTATTTAGGTTCTCCTTTATTTATTACACAAGTGTTATCGATTAGTATACAAGATTTTAAGTTCTAGTGAACCTATTGCCGAGCCATTAATACCTATTCACAACCAACTTCATACTGTTAGAAGGTTTTTGAATGAAATCAAAAAATTTGGCGGACCTTTTACATGTATGTTATACTTAATTATTGAAAGATGATAAGATAAAATAGGGAAAATTAAACAGTACTATATTTTGCTCTCTTTTAATTGCTTGATTAATTTTTATTTATACCTGCTAGCGAGAGAATTATATCCGTATCAAATGAAACTTGCGTCTATCGACAATATGCGTGTAGATGGAAAATTTTTGGATGAAGATGGATCAATACCTGAAGGTCAGGGTATTGTCATGGCTTTATTAAATGAATGCTATGATATCTTATTTGAATTGAAAGCTGATATTGTTGATGAAAATTAAAACCTTTTTATCTATTTATTAATTATAATAAGAAAATTTATATTTATTTAAAATTATTTACTTTTCGATTAAATATTTTTTGAAAAGTGATGATGTGTATGTATATAATTTATGTATTATATAATAAACTATAAATTACAAAGCTACAAATCACTAAAGAATCCCACGGGTCTAGGTTCCCTAATCTCATCCATGTTTGAAAGTCAATCAAAACATTATATATGTCCTTAAAAGCGAAACTACTTATATTGGAATAACTTGAATAATTTGTACATAACTAATGATTGTAATATTTTTTATCATGGCTAAAGGTTTTGTACAGTTACATCAGTTACGTATTGTGACATATTCCATAATTTTAATCAGCAAACAACGCCGAAAAAGAAGTACATGATGATTATTAACCTATAAAAACATTTAACGTTAATAATGATGTTTATAACGTTTGAAGTGTTAACAAAATAACCTTTTTTGTAGAAACAAAAAGATAATAATTACCAAAAGTTTGTGAAACTCTTTGATGTCTTTTAACACGACTTAAACGCCATTCATTTGGTTTTTCATATTTATTGTATAATGGTTGGATCTTTTCGCCTCTCTTGCGTTTACTAATTGTATTAGCATCAGCAACCTTAAAGAATGTTGGTGCAGCTTCAGTAAGCCATTTTGGCTCAATTGCTGTGACTTCTCTCATATATTCTTTTGTTGTTAGCACAAGTTCGTGGTATATAACCCTAAAGATTTATAAAGTAATATTAGCAGATATGTGAAAAAGCTACGTTTTATAATATTAATTCTTACCATTCAGGACCTTTATTGAATAAAGCACTTGATGGATGAATATATACTGGAGTGCCTTCCACTAAAGTTTTATACCCTTCTTGAGGATCCTTCTTTGCCGCATGTCGGAAAAACCCACCACATATAGCTCTACGAACTTTGTTATAATTTTTACCACAAGAAATAATATCTTGTTTATAACGATCCATAATACCAACTAATTGTTTGCGAATATCTTGACATCTTTTCATACTTCTGCCCTGAATAAAATTTTCGAAACACCATGCATTGGAAAATTTGCTAGCTTTCCAAGCATTATATACTGTTAAAAGGGTTAAGTGATCTCCTTCAGGTTGATGAAATTTGGCTTTCTTTTGATCAGAGGCCGCTTGTTTCTCCTTTGGTCGATAGAAAACATTTTGAACAGAAAGCATAGCTACTACGGTAAGGATTTCTTCTGAACAACCAAGATCAACCGATTGAATTAACATCTTTGATAATGGAGGTTCTAAAGGAAATTCAGCCATTTTACGACCTAATCTCGTTAAAAGACCTTCGTCATCCAAAGCTGATAGAGCATATAATTGCTCTAATGCTGTAAGAAGAGTTTGGATAGGTGGAGGATCCATAAAATCAAAATGTAAAAGGTCATTTATTCCCATTGCTTTAAGGGTTAAAACAGTATATGCAAGATTTGTACGCTGAATTTCAGGTACAGGATTTGGAAGCATTTCATTGCGATAAGCTGCTTCAGTATAAAGTCTATAACATTTGCCAGGCCCCGTACGACCAGCACGACCTGAACGTTGACGTGCCTGCGCTTGAGAAATAGGTGTAACAATCAAGGAGTCCATTCCTACTTTGGCATCATAAGCATTCTGCTTTACAAATCCAGGATCAACAACATAATATATACCATCTATTGTAATAGAAGTTTCCGCTATATTTGTTGCAATCACTACTTTTCGACTGCCGGAAGGAGCTGGTTCAAAAATACGTGATTGCATCTCGCTAGGCAGTGCAGAATACACTGGTAGGATGACTAAATCGGGCACTTGCGGACCGAGAGCTTTCATACGCTCATATAGAATTTCACATGCTGTATCGATTTCTTCCTGACCAGTTAAGAAAAGTAAGACATCACCCGGTGGTTCAGAAAGATGAATTTGCATAACGGTGATCAACGCGGCATCCAAATAATCGCTTTCGGGCTCCTTAGTATAAAGAACCTCGACAGGAAATTTTCGGCCCGGAATACTGAAGATAGGACAATCGAAGAAGTACTTTGAAAATTTTTCCGCGTTCAATGTGGCAGAAGTAACAATTACTCTAAGTTCAGGACGGTTTTTGAGAGTACCTAATAATAAATTTAATAAGTAAAATTAATTATATTAATGATTTAAAGATCATTACTAACTTACTTTTAAGTAGCCCAAATAACACATCGGTACTTATAGTCCTTTCGTGCGCCTCATCAAGAATGATAACTGAATACTGAGATAAATCAGGATCCAATAAACATTCTCTTAACAACATACCATCCGTCATGTATTTAATTCTAGTACTAGGGCTAGTACAATCTTCAAAACGAATAGTATATCCAACTTCCTCTCCTAAACGGCAGCCAACTTCTTCAGCAACACGCTTTGCCACAGACATAGCGGCAACACGACGTGGTTGTGTGCAACCAATTTTCCCTCTATTAGCAAACCCTTCCTCAGCAAGATATTGTGTCATTTGAGTAGTTTTCCCAGATCCAGTATCACCAACAATAATAAGTTGTTGGTTCTAAATAAGTCAATATCTTCGTTCAAAAAAAAAAATACATAAAAACAAAAATAATGAGCCAAATACATACTTCCGATATGGCCTTAATCAACATAGAACGCATTTGGTAAATTGGTAAGCTTTGCCTTTGCTCCATAATGGACAATGATGTAACCTTACCGAAACTTGTAGCTTTATTAAAAGTTTCTTTCTTCCATTCGGGAACTTCACCAGCTTTACGACCTGCGGCAATTCCTCTCAAGTCTTGTGCAAAATGACGTTCTCCTGGTTCTGGTAAAGGATCTAGCCAAGGAAGATTAATATCTTTTGGAACTGAATCTAATTCCGCATTCGCTTGTTGTTGCCTAAATATATTTGAAATATATGATTAATATAGTTAATGAAATATGGTAACCTATAAAATCTAAAAAACATACCTTAATTCTCGACGTTCCTTAGCTAAAGAAGCACCCGCGAGAGCAGCACGATTCAATGTTCCGTCAGGTGCCTTGACAACCTTAATAGGACTTAACTGGACTGTGTGTTTCGTTTGTCCTCTTAAAAATGGTGGCTCATCTTCTCTAATTTCAATATCCAATTCTTCCTCTGTTTCCATATTTTCAATATATCCTTGTTCCTCATCATAATTTGGCATTTCCGATGCACGCAAAATACCAGAAGCAACAAGTTGTTTAAGCTCCCAACGTTCTGGTGAAGTTAATCGTTTAAGATTATTAGGACCATCATTGTCTTCAATAACCGGTACTTTTCCAAAAGAGTATGGACGTTCTGGATTGTGCAAAGCTTCGGCTGCAAGTTCCTAAATTTATTGCAAAGTTAATATTGGCTATAAGGTTATAATTAAATTTAAGGTTACGTTACCTCCTCAGTTTTTATACGCAAATGAGGTGACAAATCTTCACCAGTATTCTGATCCACATCCTTCATAGACAAACTAATTCGTGATGGAGCTACGGACATAACTTTCACTTTGACCTTTTGATTACGGCTAACCACCTCTGATGGATGTGAAACTCTTGTTCCAGCTAACAACATACTTACATGTACCATACCTATTAATGAAATTAACATGATTAATTAAACTATAATAACGAAACACAATATAAAGGTCCTTGACCGGTGTCACCACCGTCTGCCACTAAAGCTTACCTTCCACTCGGCCTTTGACTCCTTCCAAACTGACAAAGGCACCGAAATCCCTTAAATTCGTAACCCTTCCATTATATATTTTATAAAGAACTGGTTTTTCATCTAGTTCTTCCTTAACGCGAATTTCTCTATCTATACCGCGACCTCTATATCTATCCCTACTACGATCCCTTGTTCTATTTCTACTTCGATCTCTCGTCCCATTTCGATCCCGATCCCTTCTACGATCTCTGTCTCTATCCATATCTGAACTGTAACTTCTACTACGTCTCCTATAACGAGAGTGTGGGCTACGTGATCTGGAACGTCTCCGTTTAGGAGACCTTGATATACTCCTACTAGAACTTCGTCGTTTATCAGTTTTGGAGGATTTCTTTTCAATTGCTTCCTTCTTCTCAGATCGAAGCATACTTTCTAGATCTTCCAATTGTGCCATGGTTTCATTCGCCACTTTCGTATCTTCAATCTTCTTACGCTAAATTTAAAAACCTAATTAATTTATAAACATGATACGTTAAGAAAGAATATGGTTTAAATAGATACTTACCCATTCCCGATCATCTGCCATAGCTAAACTTGGGAATAGTTTTGCTTTTTCGTCAGGATCATAGTCAAGATTATTTTCTTCACTATTCTCCTTTACTTTCTCTTTTATCTTGTACTTTGGATTCATTTTTTGGATCAAACGATCCAAAGTATTAATGAATGAATCTGGAAACTCGGCTCCAGCATCATTTAAAGCTTTTTTAAATTCTGGTAGTGTTCGACGTTGTTCATGTAAATTTATCACAAACTCAGCTATAAATTTAGAAAATAGGTTAGATCCATTACAGCATTAATAATAACCAAGTGTGAATATACTAACTCACCTAAAGTTTTATCGTTGATCCCGGTGTGATTAACTAGTTCACTTGTGATTTTTGATACTAAAGAAAGGTATTCGAGTTTTTGGAGTTCGTCAAGTGTGTCCATTTTACAAGATCAAATAGGCAACATAAGCTTAAAATATTTATAACGCTAAACAGGTGACATTTGGGGGGATGACAAATATGACAAATATATTAAAAGTCCAAACCCCGGTGTGACACGAACGGAAAATATTTTTCAAAAATTTCTTCCAATATTTAGATATATAACTAACATTTATTTTAATATAGCTTAACAAATGTTCATCAAAATTAATGCCAAGAAAATCATATAACTCTAATATTTAAAAAAAAAATATTTTTTCTTACCTATTAATTTAATATATAAAAATGATGTTATACTAATTATTTGCCAATTATTTTTTTTTTTAAAAAATAAAACTTAATATAAGTTTTGTATAGCCTTTAAAATTATAATTTATAAATTTACTTAATACCTTAAAAAAGGTTATAAATACCATTTTTGACATTTTTAACAATTTATATCAAATCTCATTTAAAGTGAAAAATAAATTTACCTTTTTAAAAAATGTATTAATTTGCTAAAAATGTAACTCATCTGGTTTGCATAGTTGCATTTACTATAATTGAAATATACTGCAAGGAACAATTTAGGAAGTGTTAGTATTTATGCTTTAATTTTATTATTGTATTTACTGTAATATCTTTTTAGAAGACTATATAACTTTATTTTTAATTAGTATTTCTTTTTATATATCTTTGATTTTTTTTATTATAAACTAAATTGATGTATATTAATGAAAATAAAAATGCTATACCTTGTTTACCTTAAAAATGTAACTTATAACTTTTTTTAAAGATATCTAAAGTTTATTGTTATAGAAAATTATAGAAAGATTGTTTAATTAAATATTAGAATTCAAATATTATTAGTTGGAATTATACTTATTATATAAAAAAATAATATAATATAAATAAATTTTAATATAAAAAAATGCTAATATATAAATATATATCTTTATTAAATAATATCAAATAATAATAGTTTACTTCTAATAATTTATATATAAATTATATTATATTTTAAATTTTATTTATTATTGTTTATTTTAAATTTAATAATATTATTAAAATATAATATAAAATAATTTTAGTAAAAATATTTAAAATCTTATATATATTTTATATTTTAATATATAGTTTACCCAAATTCTATAGGTTGGAAATTAGGGATCCTGAACATTACTAAAAAAACTCAGATCTGAATTTGTACAAACCTTATAATTAATTTTTATTTCAAATATATAAAGTTATATGTAAATTTTAGCCTCAAATTTTGTTATTTCAGGATCTTTAGCTTGTTAGATTCATCTCAACAAGACAAATATTTTGATATATAATTCATCTTTTTAGGTGTAATATTGATTGAGATATCCCATTTTGAAATTTTAGTTACACAGGATCTGAATTGTTTTAGTAATTTCAGGGTCCTGATAAACTGTATATAGTTAGACTTACATATAATTATTTAATCAATTTTGCCAAAATTAGTGATTATATAGAAAAGTAATTATATAGAGAGATTTTTAAATTTATTTAAAGTTAAATTTTAACCAAAATTATAGATATATTAAAATTCTAGTCAAATATAGTGCTGTTTGGAATTACAAAATTTTCTAATAAAAAAAAAAAACTTCTTTCCCAATTTATTAAAAACATAACAATTCTGCAGTAAAATAAAATAATTTTTACTCAGTTTTTTTTAATATGGAAGATAGTAGAAATATAAAAATAACCGAAGATAAGTTACTTACAGGAACTGGTGACAAACATAATTTTTTAGTTAAAACATATCACAATTACATACAGTTTTATAAAAGTCTTTGTACTCTTTCTTTACTGGCTAAGATACAAAAGTTCAACATAATATAATACGCGCAAATTTTGGTTTTATAAATGGAGATATAGCTACTTGGGAAGAAAGGGCTTTATGCTACAATATGACTCCTAAAAGTTTCACTTTTTTTCTACATATATCTATGTCTGCAGCTATGGATGGTTTCAAGGCTCGAAGACAAGAACTAGAAGATATAGTATGTCATGTGTCAAAACATAAGGAGAAATTTAGCAAAAAACCCAAAAAAAATAAAAAAAAGAAAAAGTTAAAAAAATTCTAATACCATTCCAATATTATTTCTGACGTAGATTCAGATGAAATTGATAAGATGATAAAAGATGACTCAGAGATCGATTATTCTTCTGATGATCAAGATTTATATAGAAATTGGCCAATTGCGACAACTTCTAGATCAAAAATGGATGTCAATCATTTGATTAATAAGGTCATATCATCTAATACAGTTACACAATTGGTATCTGATAAGTCAAAGTCGCAATTAAAACAGATACTGGAGAAAAGTTTAACAGATTTGACAAAGTCCTCAAATAAAAATAATAAGTTGAATAAAAATCTCATTGAAAAAGTTATTACAGGTCATAAGTCAACTGATGATGATACATCGAAAGTAAGAGATATTTTAGTTTATGATGTCCCAGTATCCTGAACGGCAGAAAATATTTTGCAACAGTTAACACTGTGGGAAAGCCTATTGATATTCAGATGAAACACCAAAGAAAATATTAAACCGTTCGTTTAAAGATAGAGTTAAGTACCTTTTGTCTAGCCCAATTTGAAGTTAATGAAATGTGAAAAATTCCAAGTTATGATTAAAAAAATTACAGATTCTATGACGTTAGCAGTCTTATGGGTCGACTGTCTCCCACATACCTTCCTTTCTTTAATTAGAGGATTGAAAAGTTTTAAAATTGTACAAACAGCTCAGGGTGAACATAAACTAATTGGTTATTTTGAAAAGTGGGTTGATATGTGGAATGCATTAGATAATCAATTTGTTTGGAATCAACAGAACCTATCTTAGAATCGATACGAACCTTTGACTAAGGATGGGTCCGCAAATGATTTTTAAATTCCGCATTATTGCAGATTTTGGAGTTGAATTGCGGTTAGTAGCCCACAATTCCGCAATTCTAATTGACTTATATACAAAAAATATCAGAACTAATAGTTCTGAAGTTTTTTTATATAATAATGCCGGAACTATTGCTTCTGGCATATTTTTTTATAGAAACACTGGAACTATAGGTTCCAACATTTTCTTTTAATTTTTTTATATAAAAATACCAAAACTATGGGTTCCGGCTAAGGTTGCTTGCTAAAACCTCTCCAAAATCCTGCGATAAATTTCGGCAAGATTTTACTATATGTTTACTATAGTTTCGGCAGGGTTTCAGCAGTTTCGGCAAATGGGGGTTTCGGCATTTCGGCAAAGTTTCGGCAGGATTTTTAATATGATTTAATATAGTTTCGGCATTTTCTGTATAGGTTTCGGCAGTTATTAAGAAGGTTTCGGCAAGCAACCTTAGTTCCGGCATTTTCTTTTAATTTTTTTTATATAAAAACGTTAAAACTATAATTCTGGCATTTTCTTTTAATTTTTTTTATATAAAAAATTCCGAAACTATGGTTCTGGCGTTTTCTTTTGATTTTTTTTAATATAAAAAATGCCAGAACTATAGTTCTGGTATTTTCTTTTAATTTTTTTTATATAAAAACGCCAGAACTATAGTTCTGACGTTTTCTTTTGATTTTTTTTTATATAAAAATGCTGGAACTATGGATTCCGGCATTTTTTTAATTTTTTTTATGTAAAAATGCCAGAACTATGGGTTCTGGCATTTTTTTTAATTTTTTTTAATATAAAAATGCTGGAATTATGGGTTCTGGCATTTTTTTTTAATTATTTTTTTAAAAAACACTGGGACAATAGGTTCCAGTATTTTTTTAAATTATTTTTTTAAAAAACGCTGAGACAATAGATTCTAGCATTTTTTTTTAAATTTTTTTTTATATGAAAACGCCAGAACTATGAGTTTTGACGTTTTTTTAAATTTTTTATATAAAAATGCCAGAACTATAGGTTCTGGCATTTTTTATTATTTTTTTTTTATTAAAAATGCCAGAACTATTGGTTCTGGTGTTTTAATTTTTATTTTTTTTTCATATGGGCCGATTTGGCTCAATTCATTAATTAAATTTTAGTGATAATTATGAATTTTGATCGTCATACCGCTCATAATAGTGATGATATCGTATGATGCACATGACGTTTTTGTATTTAAACCAATAATCGAAGGCTTAGCATTCGTTTGAAACTTGAAATCGCAAGTACGAAACAAGTTGCGAATTGGTTTTGAATTGGTTTTTTTAGGAAGGAACTGGTTTTTTTTAGAATTGGTAAGTGTTATTTTAAAAGAACAAAATATTGATAATTAGCAAAGCTTTTGGTTTTAAAATACGAAAAAATAGCAGAAATAATTCAATTATGTTAGAACAAAGTGAAAGTAATATACTTTCTTGTATATTTTTTTTTAACATTATAGAAATATTCTAATGAAATTTTTTCATTAATAGATACTTTCTCTAGTCGCGTTTTTGTACATGACTACCCAAACAGTTCAAAAATAGAAGCACATTATCAGTCAAATGGAAAATTATATAATTCGTATTATAATATTATTTCGTTAGGAATATATCCTCCATCACCAAAATTCACTCAAAAACCCAGAAATAATGCGTCCCAATATCCGATTCCTAACAACTATATAGTTGAAACAGAAGTTTCTGGATGGACTCTTAGATGTGAAACTAAATATACTTCAAATTTAAAAGTATGCTATACAATTAGTTGGAAAGAAGGACGCGCAGAATGGAGTGTTAATAGTACAAAATCTTCCACAGCAGTTGCTAATACATTTTTACAGATATGTACTAATTAATATTTATATTAACAAATGTAATAATTTATAAACACTACAATTGATTTTAATTTTGTTTAATTAGAAAATTGGCCAGAAACACTCAACTAAACTTTCTGGACCGCGATTATTTGGATTGGATATTGAGCCATTATATAATTTTCATTTACAAATTGGATCTCTCCCTATTATTACTACTGCAACAAAAGTTAATGAACGAAAAAGACCACTTGAAGATATCACTTCATGATCACAGCAAAATAAACGAATCAATAGTTTTGGATGTGATGTTCAGAAAGCAGTTGATGAACTAATTATCAAACATAAATTAACAAATTCATCTGGACAACCAATTATGCATATGCATTATATAGAATTTGATTACAAAGAAAATCAAACTTATATTAAATTTGGAGATTCAAATTCCACAACTACACAAACAAGACTTGATTCTATTGTACGTGTATGTGATGAAGCATTTTTGGGTCATGATGGATATCGACATTTGGCAGCAGTTGTGCCAATTCTTTTTCGTGAATATTTAGTTGCTAATCGTCGAAATAAGATTAATGAACTTATAAATATTCAAATTCACATAGGGAATTTTAATATAGATAAGGAAATTAATAACCAATCCAGTATTGATGATGATGTTAATGAATATACTGGTGATATTTTAGTAGATGATCATGAAGTAGGAAATGGAGCTTTTCGTTCTCTTTTAACTTTACTTAAAGCATTAATACCTATTTGAAAAGCAGGAGAAAATCCTGTAATAATTCCAGAAAATAATCTTTATATTAAACTTGATGGTGATAGTCGTAATGTTGGAAGAAAGCAAAATCATGTAATGATAACATTTTGCTTATTAAATGAAGGAAAAGAAGTTTTAAAACCAGATCATCAATATTGGTAATTATTATATCTTTTGTTAATGTTTGATAAATAATAATTATTTTAAATTATTTTAATTATTTTACATATAATTATTAGCATTTGCCTTTATGTAGGACGTGAAAAATATGAAGATTTAGCAAAAGTTGGACAATTATTTCAAAATCAATTATTTGATTTAAAAAATAATGGAATTATAAATCAAAATGGTATTCATTGGCCAACTGAATTATTTTTCTGTGGAGATTGGAAATTCATGTACATAATTATGGGTCAAAGTGCACCTAATTCCAAATATTTTTATTTATACTGTGATTGTGAAGAAACATCACGATGGGATATGAATAGAACATGGAATAATACAGTAAACACAAAATGTATGTTTATTTAAGATTGTTATACTATTATTATATTAATTTTATTAATTTTTATATAATATTAATTATTAGGTGAAAGAAAATCTCAATTATTTCCAGCAATTAACCAAGAGAATTATATACCAGATGAATTACATTTGCTTTTACATATATCAGATGTCTTAATGGAGTGTTTATTTGCTGATTTAATTAAAAACAAAGATTTTTCAAAACAAATCAAATCAGCAATTGAATTGGCATTTAAAAACATTAAAGTTCATTTTGAATTTTTTCAATCCAAATCAACTGGAAAACAATGGAATTGGACTTCTCTAATGGGGCCATATAAAAAGATAATGCTAGAAAAATTTCCAGTATCACAGTTTATTCCAGGTACTTGTGAAGATGATATAGAAAAATTGTGGCGAGAATTTTATCGTTTATATATGTTTTTACATAAAGCACATCTTTCAGATCAAGAGATTGATCAATTTGAAATTGATGCTCAAAATTGGATCCACATATTTTGCCATCCAACTCAAGGTTGTATAAATAGTTCTATTCAAATTCCTGGTTTATACAAAAAAGAAGATGTCACACCTTATATGCATGTTTTTGCAAAACATGTACCTCAATTCTTGCGTCAATTAAAAGAAAAAAGTCTCTCTTTGCAAATTCTTTCTACTTCAAGTATAGAAAAAAAAATCACAATCAGGTATAAGAGAATTAATTTGTTTTTTTTTTATTTGAAAATGTTAAAAATTTGTTTTTATTTTATTGCTACTTAATTTAGGTTTGTTTATTTTTTGGAGGTACTACTATGGATGGAGGAACTGATGGAAAATCAGTTGTATATAATATAATGTCTTTTGAGAACCGCCAATTATTTTATTTAATTAACAATACTCCTAAAAAAATTGTTGCTAGAAACATTAATGTCAATAAAGAAAATTAAATTTGTTAAAAATTAAAAAATTCTTAAGGATTCATTTGTTTCAGGTTTGTTTCTAAAAATAAATGTAAAAATTGTAAATTATAAACAAATAAATTTATTAAAATAATATACTCATCAACAAATTCTTCAGAATTAGTAATAAATGTACAAGTTGCAGTTCCATACTGAAAATTTTGCACGTTTTCATTTAATTCTAATAGTAAGGCAAAAGAAGGGAGGTATGGTGGGGTATAACTTTGTTATTGCAGCATTTATTTCTTTACATGTTAAAAGTTTGTTTTTAGAAGAAAATTTTAATGGCAAAGTGGACATTCGTTATATTCATGAACAAAAATGTTCGCATTCAGCATTATTACAAAATTCTATTAAACATGTTGAATAATATTCCTAATGAAATAACATGTAGAAACATTAATATTTATAATGGTGAAAATACAATCTAAATTATGTTTTATGTACAAAACTTCTAATTTATAAATTATTTATTTCTGGAATTCTGGTTGAAATCCAAAAAAAAAATTCTATTACAATATCTATAAATTATTTATTGATATTTTTGATTTAATTCTTGAAGGGGGGAGCGTGGTAAAATAAATCTAAATTGCGATTGATTATTTGTTTTAGTAATAGTAGGTATTGCAGAGTGAGCAGAAGTGTAATTTTCATTTGTTACTTCATTTCTAAAAAAAAAAAAAATCAAAATATTAATTCTTCAAAATTATAAGAGATTTGTATGCAGAATTCTGAACCTTACCCATTAATAAACTTTCCTGAATCCGTTGTAAATGTGCAGATAACTGTCCCACACTGAAAGATTCGGTTGTTTTCAACCAATTCATTCTGTGCCCAACTGAAAGAAACTTCATAAATTTCTTCACTATTCACAAATAGTACATATCCCGTTGTTTTTGTTTTGGGATCTTGTCGGCAATTCCAGTATTCATAGTTTAAAATTTGCTTTAATCTACCTTCTCCTGCCTCACCTTTAAATGTACAACGATATTTTCGTAGTGCCGAATTATACCTAAAAGAAGGTTCATTTTGAAATAAATAAACAAATACATTCTCAGGAAAGACACTTATTGAGAGTCGTTTGGATCCTACGGAATGTCTATTGAAACCAAGACGTTTTTTAATTAAGACTATAAACGCATCTTATTAAGATACAAGCTGCTCAAAAGTAGGCTGGTGGAGTAAATGGAAATGAGGTATAGTTTTATTGTTTTTATGCTTAGTTCTTTCATGAGTTAAAAGTTGTTTTCGTGAAGAAAAGGTTTTTTGGCAAAGGTAACATTTAAATGACATGTCGGATACAGTAACGCGTGATTGTGCCGCAGCGTGAATTTAGTTATTTAGTTGTAATTGGGTAAACAATAATTATATGACAATGTGACATGTATAATAGTTAAACTGGTAATGATCGACCGTCAATCATTTCGTAGGTGATATAACTGATGTGAGCCAAATCGGCCCATATGTTTATAAAAAAACGCTGGAACTATTGTTTTCAGCATTTCTTTTTTAATTTTTTATAAAAATGCCAGAACTATTATTTCTGGCATTTTTATTATTTTTTTTATTAAAATTGCTGGAACTATTAGTTCTGGCATTTTTTTTTGCAGTTATAATAAGAGAAAACGCCGTTTCTGTCAGTTTTTTCCAATTACCAATCCATCTTTTTCTAAAAAATAAAATCATTTTTTTTTTAAATTTTGTTAATGAAAAATAATTTTTTTTTACGATTAATAATAAGAAGAAATATATTTTTTAGTAGTTAAATTAAAAATTATATTTCATTTAAAAAAAATTAGTTTTTTTTGCGGATATTTCGCAAATCTGCAAATATTCCGCAATCCTGCAAATATTCCGCAATCCTGCAAATATTCCGCAATTGAATTGCGGTACTTTGGATATTTGCAGATTTGCAGAATATTTGCAGGATTGCGGATAATTGCAGATCTGCAGATCTGCAGATTTTTAGATTTAAAATCTGCAATGTTCCGCAATACTGTAAATCGCAATTATTCCGTAATTACATATTTGCAGCACTATCCTTATCTCTGACGCAACAAACAAGATCATATGGTAATAATGCCAATAAGAATCAACGAACTTCAGGAAGTCAATCGACTAATAAAAATCAGAAGAATTCTAAGAATTCAAAGAAGAAACCAGAAGAGACGAAGTCTAAAAAGCAAAAGAAGCAAAAGAAAAATAAGTCCTGTAAAGCATTGAGATCGAAGATCTTAGCAAAAATTATAGATGTTTTGCGTAAATTAATCTAATTTTAGTTAATTTAGGTTTTAGAAATGGATAAGAATAGTGGTCAAAAGGCCTAAATTTTATATAAAATTTCTATTCCTCATTTTTTTTATCCTTATATTTTCTTATTTGTTCGTTATTCAGGATGAGTTTTAGTTTAGTTTTTTTTTTCCTACCCCTTTTTACTAACCATTTTCTTTTATACCTTAGTATTTGAGCTGGCAGGTCTTTAAGTATTTATATTTTTAGATTAGCTGTTGTAATTTAGTACTCACATTTTCCTTTTTAGATGTAATATTATAGAAAAAAAAAAAAAACAAATTTTGTAATTTTAACAAAAATTATAATATGGCTAAAATTATAATTTATAGATAATTGTAAGAAATTTTTTTATTAATATAAATAATATGTAGAAATGTGGCGCAATAATTTTATATAGATCATTTTATAGATCAATTTATAGATCTCTTGATTTTTTTGATTTTTTGATTTTTTTGATTTATTTAATAAATCTGATAAACTTAATATATTTTATTTATTTATTATATTTATTTTATTTTTTTTCGCAGCGTATTTGCAATTTTATTAAAGTAAAAAAACAAATTAAAAGAAACTATATATAAAATAAAGTTTTAATAATATCTATTCTAATATAATTAAATTACAAACCACTCGTCATACATATAGTACTTCATGTGTATACTGTCAAGTGATCATTTGACTCTGTAAGTAGACTTTATTTAGAAACAGGTTATCTTAGCCATAAAGCTCTATTTTTAATATCTGGTGATCACAGGACCTACTATTTATTTTATTTAATATTCTTATTTTTTTTATTTTATTAGGACCCCAGAAAACTAATATAAAGGTTATAAGTGACTTTTGGCCAAAAACACCACTTTTTGCCAAAACTCAAAAAATCATTTTTTGTAAATATCTCAGCATCCAGTGATTCAATTTTAATGAACATTTTTTTATTTTGTAGCCCTCATTCAGATCTACAATTTTAAAAAAAAAGTTTATCAAAATTGGACCACTGGGTGCCGAGATATTTACAAAAAACGATTTTTTGAGCTGTTAAAAAATGGGTCAATTCGCTGAAAGTATGACTTAAAAATCCTGATCTGCCAACTCTTTCTTGTAGATCCTTGGTCAAAAATTTCGCAAAAGAAATTTTTATTCTTCGTATTAACACACCTCTTATTTTACTACTAAAATGCCTCCCAAAGGTAACAAAAAAGCTGGCAATAACCCTAACGGGGGACCTGCCAAGCGTCAAGACAAACGAAACAAAAATAAAGACTCTGGCTCTGACGTTTCGAACTCTGATAATGAACAAATAAACAATAAAAACAACCCTTCCAAACGTACCTGTACGCTCCCAGAAAATCCTATGGAAGAAGACTACGTCGCCGACTCAGCGGCTAACGCTGGAGGTAGTCATACTACTCCTCCTCAACAAAATAATGCTGACAACTTTTCGTCTCCTCCTCCCAAAGATACTACTGCGCCTTCTGCGCCTAGTACTGTCACGTCTGGTACTGATGCGTCTATGCATGCCCCAAAAGACAAAGAAACTTCCCCCTTAGATGCGTCTCCTAATAAAGATATTATGGATACCAATGATACTTCTTCTCTTCCCCTTGACACGCCCACTATTTCCATTCTTAGGCGTGATTATCAGGCTGCTGCGGCTCCTAATACTTCTCCTGAATTTATCAAAAAGTATCCTACCAATCGGGCTATGATTGACGCTGTAAATAACCTCCTTTTGGAAACTTATCACTCTTACACTGGCCGCGCTCGCATGTCTGGTTCTGGTGACCTCAAACGATTAGTCATTCATTTTAATTCAACTACTGAACGTGATGCCTACCTTTCTCTCCAACATGATGATCTTGCCGATCTCCGATTTTTTCTACATGACCCTCAGCAACTCCGAACTGATGAAGATCTCTGGGCTATCCAAGTCACTGACATTTTATTCTTCATCAAGAAAGATGACATTACTGCTCTTTTTAAAAAATATGGTAACATACAATCCTGTCGCATTCATACACGTGCCAATGCTAAAGTTCAGCAAGCTCGTATTGTTTATGATGATGCTTCTTCTATCCAACATTTCATGGATAAACAGTGGGCAATCTATTGTTATTCCACTTGTTTATGTATTACACCATGCTCCCTCACCCTTGATCAAAAGAAACACGACGTGAATTCGTCGCCATTTTATCTCAGCTCCCTCCTAACACAAAAGATGTGCATTTAGCACCCTTGGTACGAGCAATTGGCGCTATGGCCGTTAATATTCCACTATCTCTTAATTCCTATAAACCTAAACGATGGGCTTACATCACTTTTAAATCACAACAAATGATGGACACCGCAATGGAACAATCAGTCGCCCTGCAAGGCCACAGACTCCAATGGGAATTCCCGGAGAATACAAACAAGCTTTGCCACAGATGCGGCAAACTTAGCTGCGCCCTACTGCATGCCCATTGAACAATTCTTGTGGTCGCTCACGTACCCGTAATCCTGTTGCACACTTAAAAGAACATTTTAATATTGGACGATCAAATAACCATGACTCTTCTGTTAATCGCAATAGACATCGTTCCCGTTCTCAATCCAAAGATCATTCTAATTCCCGATAACGTAACCATTCAGCCAATAACACTGGACGGAGCAATAATAATACCAATAACACTTCTTCGCCCAATCCTTCTAATTCCAATAAATCTATCCAATCTGCACAACGACCTCGCTCTAATGAGCGTAAAGGCAAAGACCGTTTAGTTTCCTTTTCCACTTTCCAACGTAATAATACCTCCATTCCCAACTCATCTGGTCATAAACAACCTCCTTTGGTGGATCCTAATTGCTCCCAAATTCAAGAGATCCTTTCGGTGCTTAAAAGCCTTCAAGAAGATATAGCTAGTGTACATGCTAGAATTCATGCTCTTGAATTAGCTGATCAGAGGATGTCTCGGTTGGAACTTCGTGTTTTTGGACATAAGCAAGACGATGTTCTCCCACCTGACCCTAATAATTCTTCATACATGCTAGTTGACAATCACCAAAGCACCCCCCCTTATATAACACAATCTAACCCGCCCACTTCGAACAGGTTTAATTCTGGCCCAGTTCTCCCTCCCCCAACGGTTTCTGTTCCCCATTCCACCATTTCTTCTTCCCCCATCCCCGAAACTGCTGATGAAGTAACTATTAATAAAGAACGTGCTGAAATTTATTCATTTCAACGATCCTTAGATAACAAATTCGACCACTTATCCGGCTCTATTGAAAGATTTATTAACTCCATTTCTGATGGCTCTTTCTCAGACTTAGTCAATAAGACTTCGTCTGATTGATTTGTTATCCCTTTCTTTCACCCCGCAGTTTTTATCATTGTGTTATAATGATGAACGATAATATAGATTATGATACCTTTGTGCGAAATCTCCCCAACCCCGTTAATTTTAGTGATATTTTTAATGATCCTTTATCCGATACTTTATTTTCTTCTTCTTCCTCTACTTTTCCCATTACCAATTCTTTTAACATTTCTTCTTTTAATGTTAATAGTCTTAAAACTCCTGGCCAAGGTTCCTTTAAAATGGACCAAATCTCTTCTTTCTTTTTACAAAATCACATTTCCTTTGGTGGTATCGTTGATACACACCTATCGCCTAAACGAAATTTTTGTCTAAACGAGTTTGTGATTATACTTCTTTTCATTCTGATTTGGACTCCACCAAACATGGTCACTCTTCTGGTGGTGTTTCTTTATTCATACACAACTCTTTAGCTACTCATGTTCAATTTTATCAATCCCATTCTTCCCGTATTCTTTCTGTAGACTTGTTTTTTAAAGGCAATGTTAAATTGCGTATATTTGTCGTCTACATTCCACCCACAAATGATCTTGTTCTTCGTTACGAAGTCATTGATCAATTAATTTCTTTAATTTTCCAAACTTCTTCACAAAATTTTCACCATGCTATTTGCGGTGATTTTAACATGAATCTGAAGAAATATTACCCTATATTTTTGCATCAACCTCAGGTTGCTGCTAAACGAATTCACAAATTATTTCATTATTTGCTTTCTCATAATTATGAGGACTGCACCCCCTTAATTTATCTGGTACCTTAGGTACCTATCACCATTTGGATACTATTACTCGTATTGACTTTATTTGGTCTTGTCCACTTCTTCGCCAATATATGTTAACAACTTCTATTTTTGATGCTCATGATTTACACATTTCAGATCATAACCCTATTATTACATATTTTGATGCTTCATTATTATCAGATGCTATTAAATCTGCACGAGCTCGTCAACTTGGTCGTAATACTCGACGTGTTTTCAAATATGACTCCATTTCTGCTGATCAATGGACTGCTTTTGCTGATAATTTGGATAAATTATGTCCAATTGATCCACTTGTTTTTGACGCTTGGCCTCTCAATCAGAAATGTGAATATCTTCATTCTAGGATTATCAAAGCTGCTAATTCCACATTGCCTTCAGTTACTGTGGGCAATANACCCTATATTTTTGCATCAACCTCAGGTTGCTGCTAAACGAATTCACAAATTATTTCATTATTTGCTTTCTCATAATTATGAGGACTGCACCCCCTTAATTTATCTGGTACCTTAGGTACCTATCACCATTTGGATACTATTACTCGTATTGACTTTATTTGGTCTTGTCCACTTCTTCGCCAATATATGTTAACAACTTCTATTTTTGATGCTCATGATTTACACATTTCAGATCATAACCCTATTATTACATATTTTGATGCTTCATTATTATCAGATGCTATTAAATCTGCACGAGCTCGTCAACTTGGTCGTAATACTCGACGTGTTTTCAAATATGACTCCATTTCTGCTGATCAATGGACTGCTTTTGCTGATAATTTGGATAAATTATGTCCAATTGATCCACTTGTTTTTGACGCTTGGCCTCTCAATCAGAAATGTGAATATCTTCATTCTAGGATTATCAAAGCTGCTAATTCCACATTGCCTTCAGTTACTGTGGGCAATACTTATATTCCAAAGAAGCCTAAAGACTTGGAAAGTTTATGCCAGTCTTATAGATTTTTGTCTAAAGTGGCTAAAACTATCAGTTCTCTTCATAAGACCCCTATCTCATACTCTATGCATAATGAAA